TAACGTTTGATAGCCACAATTAGTGACTAGCTGGTGAACAAAGTGGAGCATTTTGTAGCTAAAGAGACAGATATTAAGGAGAGTGAATATTAGACTTGGCCAGAAATGCAATAACATATGAAAGCTAATGTTGCTCCGTATCTGCTAGATGCATAAATAAGCCACTGTTTTGCAAATAAGTTTGTCAAGTTAAATGTTAAGAAATCTGTTATTGCAGATTGCATTTGTATATAAAAATCTCATTAAAACAAAAGTAGTAACATGTTTTGGAATGAAGAAATGTAATGGAAACCTGCTGTTTCAAACATGAATGATAATTTCAAAAAGACATATTACAGTATGTTTCAGCGCTCTCAGCATCAGTTTGTATTCATTATGCCCTCTCCTTGTTTGGGATTGTTTTTGCCACGCTGTTAAGCTGCTGTGACTCTGTATGATGATGTGCTTAATCACCATGACAGCCACATATGTCTGAGAGGACACAGGGCGAGAGTTAGTCCCCCATTTCTGCTGCTGCAGAAACTGTGGCCCACTTACACAGCCAGCTCTGCCCTCTACCACTCTGTCCTGCACTTTGTCGCTCACCCTTTTTCTCTCTTTCTATCTCTCTCTCTCTCTTAATGCATTTCTTTCACTAGTATCTTCAAGATGCTAAATTCCCTCCGCTACCGCCCCACCTCAAGCTGTTGCTGTCCCTTCATTCTGTGTTAAATTCAGATGAATGGATCCCCACACCGATTATCCGCTGATCAGCTGGCAGAGCAGTATTGCCGGTGGCAGCCTTTATAGGCTATGTTATTCCAAAGCTGATTTAGAGCAGATTTCAGGAAAGATGACTGGAATGCTGAGAGAAGCTGTTCAGCCAGCAGCAGTGAGAGAAGAAGGAAACGAAGGACGCCAGGGAAAAGGACAAGATATGATAAAAGTAGCCGGCATATCTCTGCACCCTCAAGTAAAATTCCTCCATATGTATTGTACTCTGTGAATTAAGACATTGCAATTCTAGCTGTGTAAGAAGGAGGGACAGCAAGTCTGATTGTTGAAGAGGCAGCGACAGCAGTGAGGAACTCTTCCTGGAGCCCTGCCAGGCCACTGCAGGGGTGTGGATGTTCCAGGCTTGACACAGCAGGAAGGGATTGGCCCTCAGCCAGAGAAATATAGACTGAATCATCAGAGCTGGAATGAGATTTCCTCTCACTGTATGGGAAGAGAGGTTAAACATGGTCATTCTCCTGGCTGATTGATTACAGTACTAAAAGGGGGAATAATGAGAATATGATTAGCTGCGTCTCTTTATTTATTTACTTATTCTGTTTGCAGTTAATATTTAATACTCTTACCTACAATTTATTTGATTTAGTCTGAAACTCAGAGGCCAGGTTGCATTTTTATATTTGGTTCCTTTAAGTTAACACTGTCTTAGTTCAAATGGACCAAACCTTAGCAATTATTCAGTAAGTTTTGCGACCTTTTATCGCAGAGGGATGCAGAACCACAGGACAAAGGACAAGTTTCCACAAGTTTGTAGCAGATAAGAGCACGAGTATACAGCTGAGGAAGAGGAGACGAGGGGTCTTTAGGGGTTAAAAACTAAAATCCACAAAGTGCATTTGTGCAGTTTGTTTTAAGGCACCTGAGGCCAGTTAAAATTGTTTCCAGCTGCCCAAACAAACTGAACTGGGAACAGAATTTTTCGGTTCTGTAAGGTTTGAATAAAGCACACCAAACATGAGTGGCGCCCTTAACATGTAGATTGTCTAAATAAACTGATAAAACAAAGTGATTATTATAACACAGTAATTATTCTTTTCAATCCCTCTGTCATTAAGCCGGCAAGATCATTTGAATTGACAGGAAACTGGATGTGAAGTGATTAAAACATTGATTGTGCTGTGCTAGTGACACTGGCAGCCCGAAGATGATTCTGCAGTTTTCACTACAATCAATGGAATATTTCCACGCTTGATTTAAGGGAAGGATGATATGATGATACATAGCATGAGACAATGGAGATTTATCAACCAGTGGAAATAAATTCTGCTGGCTGAGATAGCTATGCCTTTAAATTTTTGTGGTTGGTTAGTCCAGTAATGCAGGACTGCTTTAATTATTAGATTATTGGGACTTTTGTGTCAAATAATATATTAATAATAATAATAAAGCTCAGCAACAGACAGTTTTCCAACAGAATTTCCAGAAAAAAATCATATATTATAGGACTGGGCAATAAAACAGTAACGATGATTATCTTGATAATTAACAAATGTTTAATAAATGTTTGATTTAATTAATTTAAATTATGCATGAATTAGCACTTAATTTTTCTAATAAAATATTTATTTTGTTCAGGAAAAGGGACTGAAAAAAGATTTTACTTAATTTTACTAATGCATATTTCTATATATGCATATTTATTTATCATAAATATTCTGCCTCAGATTTGTTAAAATTTGTTTGGCATCAAGTGTTTGTCATGTTCTGGCCATAAAGAATAGTTTAAAACCACAGTGAACTGGTTTCTTCAACTTTCACTCAGGAGCAAAAATCAGCCTTTAAACTTGAAAGAAGTAATGATTTGATATTTATTGTGATAATTATCTATATCAAATAATATGAAATAATTTATTGGGATAGCAGTTTTGGCCATATCGACCAGCCCTAATATATCAAATTGCTACTGTAATATAAATAACACATTTTATCCAAATTGCCTTTACATACTTGATGCTATTCAGAGGACATTCCTGAAATCTTCTTCTATGCTCTGATTATAGCCTTAAAAAGGGGGCTTTGTTAAAGCTTACTTATGTGCATGTGTCAATAATACTACAGTCTGTTTCTTTAATGGTTTCGTTCATGATCATTGTAAATAATATGTGTATATTTATTCCCCAGGCTGATTACATCTGAGAAAGACCAAATAATCTAATAAGCTATTATAATTAAACTACGCAAAAAAATTTGTGTTTGGTAGATTATTTATTTGTTGTCACAATGCTTCTTGGCAATAAATCTTATACCATTAGAAAGCTTATACGGTTTATGTCCCTTTTAAATGGTACCACATTTGTAAGGAACATGCATTTGTGGGATGAGCAGCAGAGCTGAGTATGTGGGTTGCGCCCATGAAAAATCTGACAATGCTAAACAGCGTTTTTTTGCTGCTCACTCTTGTTTGGTGTTTTTTGGAGGATTGGATTATTAATGTCTGAAGAAACAAGACATATTGGCAATTTAACAATTTATTCATTTAACAAACAGGAGCGTTAGTAGCAGGTAGAAGAACCATACACAGCCACAACAGCCTGGCAACTCCTACTCATGCTGGTCACCAGCCTGGTCTCACACACTGCTGTGGGATGGCATCCCATTCTTCAACTGGCATGTAGGAGCCATTTTGGCACCTATTGTTATTTGATGAATTGTTGTTAATAATCACATACTATATATTCATGGTTCATGCAGAAGTTCATTCTGTGTTTGACATCGTGTTTTTTGTAACTGTTGATTGGGTGTAGTTTTGCTGCGCAGTGGGCAGTACTAATAAGGATCAGGTGGCGGGAGGTAAAGAGATCAGCAAGGAGGATGGATTGTAACAAGTTTTTGTTTTGCAAACTGGTTTTGAGTGGTTTTCAAATAAAGTGGACACGAGTCAGGCTAAGATTAGACTACTTGCAAATTAGTGGCCTTAGACTTTGTCATAGCTAAACAGCCACGAAAAAGGCAATTGTCACAAGTATGCAATAAGAAATAATTATTATAATGATTATACTAAAATTATTTGGCAGAATTGATCTACCAAACACACACATCTTCGTGTATACTGTCGTGTTACTGCAGAAAGGATTCTCCTCTCCATTCAGCCTTGGAGCCTTTCAGATAGCAACAGTGAAGTTTTTGTTACCTAGCAACACTTGGTCCAGAACCTCCATTTATTTCACACTGTAGCAAGGAGGGTCTGTGGACATGAGTGGAGTCAGTAGAGAGGGAATCTCCAATGTCGCATCTATCAAATATCAGATCAAAGCAATCAAAAATTGTGTTGTATGTGTGATAAGGAGGGTTTCTTCCCTGTTCTCTTGCGTTCAGATCATGTTGTGGGAAGATAAATTATGAATATGGGGAGCAGCAATAAAAATCACATTTGTATTTTCTTTCTCAGGCATAAATCAATAATTGCGTACAGAAAATTTCAAAGCATACATGTACATTTTTGAGTGAAATGCTCGGGAAGACGAGATATTTTGGATCCGTCTCGTCTCTGATGTAACCAGTGATGCTGACGACTGTTCACACGGCCTGGCGCGTGAAAACAAAATGTCACTCTCCTTCAATTAACGTCAATAACAGGATCATTTGTCTCTTCAGCCTCCTCTGCCTTCCCTCAATCTGCGTGCAAGAGGAAAACATTACTCAGTCAATCACTTCAACAATCCTCGCTGCTAATCTCATTATTGGTATTCCTCCTGGTCGTCTCATTCAGCTTCTCTTCATCCATTAACAGCCTTGTTTAATTTGTGATCACCAGCCTCCTCCTTCCATCCACCTTTCTTTATGTGTCCTTTTACGCTGTTTCAGTGTCACCAGTTTTTGTTGTCTTTAGCTCCTGCATCCATCTTTCCTCTCTTTGCCTTTCTTTCTCTCCTCTACTCTCCTTAGTCCCACTTTTCTGCCACCTTCTGCTAATTAACTCCCCTTTAATTTCTCTGCATCTCCAGTCTTTCTTTTTGCCCTTCGTCTTCTATTCATGCCCTATTTATACTTAACAGCACTCGCACACTTTATTAAACCATATTTGTGCATCGTATTCATGTTCTACTCCAGAGTGATTACAGGAAAAGGGTAATGATTAACATATGATTATCTTCCCTAAGCTTGTTGTTGTTGTTGTTGTTGTAAGTGTATTATACTTGCAAACTTGATTCCCTCGTTGACATTTCTTCTTTCCTCTCCCTTTTTACTGTTTCACTAGACCTCTTTTTTTCCCCTTTTTTCCCCAGGTGGTTCGGGATCAGATCTCCCACTGTACGGTGAAGCTGCGTCAGACTACAGGGCTGATGGAGTACTGTCTGGAGGTCATCAAGGAGAATGACCCCAGTGGTTTCCTGCAGGTAAGGTGCACAACAAGGCTCTTTTTCTGCTAGGGGCTACAGCTCCTGCTTTTTCTTGTTTCATTTCAAGTTACAGTTGTGGAGGACAAAAGTGGAGAAGAACGCAAAATGTTTCCCATAGCCCCAGTTCCCAACCTTTTTAGCTCAGACCCCTTAAAACAAAGCCGTGCTAATTCATTGCCAGAGAGTGATTTTCCTTCCTTGAATTATTCTTAAGAAGTGAAATCATTCCAAATTCACAAGAAGAGATATGAGAAAAGAAGAGAAAATTTTCTCTTCTCTTCTGTTAAGCATCTACTTGCTCCCACTAGCTCAGATTATAGAAAACAGTAAAATGTCTTTTTGTATATAATTATGTCACAAGGTGACTATATGGTCAGTTGGTACGTTGAACAAATCCCTGATTTGCTGTGGCAACATTTCCTTCAATTAAACAAAGACAAAACAGAAATGATTGTTTTTGGACCCAAAGAAGAATGATTAAAAGTCAGTGCTCAGTCATTTGCTAACGTTAATGACCACAAGCCAAGCCAGAAATCAAGACCTACATTTTAGCACACAAAATCAGCTTACCACTACCTTAAAGTCTAGTTCTCAGATCTTTATACTGGCTTCTTGTTTGTCAAAGAATTGGCCTCACAACTGTACTGTTGGTTTATAAAGCACTGAATGGTTTATGGCCAAAATATTTCTGTTATGCTCTTATGTCATGAACCATCCAGATCTTTCAGATAGTCTGAGGCAGGTCTGCTGTCCCCAGTCAAAAATAACAGGACGGAGAACCATTCAGTTTTTATTCACCACATACCTGGAACAAACTCCCAGAAAACTGTCAGTTCTTTTAAATCAGACTTTTCTGTGTGCTACTGCCTTTTATTAAGTTAAAGTGTTTATTCACATATTGCACTCTACTGCAGCTGCACTGCCATTTTTATTCTGCTGCCTAATCTGTTTTATTCTTTATTATCTCGTTTCAACCATTTTAAATCCTATTTATGTGTGTCCTTTTATATTGTCTTGTGTTTCTTTTCTTATTGCCTTTGTAAAACACTCTTATAGTGTCTTGTTGAAAAGTGTTATGCAAATAAATTTGCCTTGCATTGACCTGACTTATACAGCAGAAACAGTTTCTTCTTGCTTTCGCCTCCTGTTTATCATATTGTGACCCCTCAGATTTATCTTCTATCCACTTCTGGGGCTGCTGACCCCCAGGTTGGAAACCATTGTCCCAGAGAATGGCCAGAAATTGAAGCTGTAACATACTATTATTTTATTATTTTATTTTACGTTGATCTATTTTTGAATTTTGTATTTTTAAAGCTGACATTTTCACACGTTTTGTGGTTTGTTGCAGTAAGTTTGGTGACATTTTTCTGTGGGAAAAATGGTATATTTAAAAAAGAGAAATTCCTCATAAACAGGTAGATTACAAACTGCAGATATGACTCAGACCGAATACATTTTAGATAAAATTGACTTTTCCATGATCTGAGCTGAGGCTCTCAGGGTAGAGGGTGTTATATATTGTACAAATTGTAAAGCAAATGTGGGATTTGTAATTTTTAGTTTATTAACTTGAAGTGTGCTAATATAAAATGGTCTCCATATGCCCAATAATTTAATTAAAATACAAAATGTATGTGTTTAAGTAGAGGATGACATAAACATTAGATAAATACAGATACATCTGCGACACCATGTGATTTTCTGGTTCCCAGAACTGTGTTTGTTTCAATGAGTAACAGTTTTAATTGTGAATTAATTTGTCCAATGTTGATCTTAGATCTCAGATGCTTTGATCCGGAGGGTTCACATGACAGAGGGCCAGTGGGGGAAGGGAACCCTCACCCCCAGAATGACAAGCGACTTTGACCTCACTCTGGACAGTGGACCCCTCCTGCAGACGATCCACCAGCTGGACTTTGTCCAAATGAAAGGTAAAAAGAGAAGGAGGTAACAGATATAGACACCTGAGGGATTTTGAGGAGGAGCTGCTAGATGAGAGCAGGCATAGCTCAGATGGAGACTTTTTTTAAACTCAAAGAGGCAAGTTCAAGCCCTCTTGAGAGCGAAAATCTTCTCTACTGAACAAGACATTAAATCCCTACCAGCCTGTGAAAGGGCTGACCTCTGTTGTGAAAATAATATACTAGCAGTGTTTGTACTACTGAATCGCTGGTTTATTGTTAATGTTTTGCACTCTTTTTACCTCGGGTATTGTTAAATTTTAACGCTGAAACCTAATTTGAATGTGATATTTCTATGTAGTCAATTTCTTAAATGTATTATGGACACTAATGTTTGCAAGGGAGTGTCCTCTTTTTCTGTGACAACAGTCCCTTGAGTTTGCTGTTGCAATTTAGAGACAGCTTATTCGTGACCTCTTCATCTTTTAAAGTCACAAATGATTTTTTATTTGAAGTAATCATGAAATTATATTCAGAAGCAATTTGAGTTGGGGACCTTGCTGGATGTGTGCATAGACATTTGTGTTTGGTTTGGTAGCTGCTTTACACAGTATGATGTCACTAACAGACTGCAGGTGTTTGCTAAAATATTCTGCAAATTTCTCAGAAAGTCAAGGAACTTTGGTGTGTTTATATTCATGATTCGGAAGCCTTTGATTAATGCATTCTAAATTCATGTATTCATAAATGAATTTATAAATGATAAACATTGACAGGTCTCCGTGCACTGCAGAGTGATATCCAGTTGAGGAGTGTGCGTGTGTGCTTGCGTTATCTTTTCATATCTCAGTGGGCTGTAATCTGGCCTGGTTTTTCCCCTCCTCAGTCCCAGCTGCTCCCATGCTCCAGCTGGAGGAATGCTGCACTCAGAACAACAGTGCCACGTTGTCATGGAAACAGCCACCGCTCTCCACCATCGCCGTGGATGGTTACATCCTGGAGCTGGACGATGGAAACGGGGGGCCGTTCAGGGTAGGTTTCCCTCTGCAGGTACTCTTGTCACTCGTTGGGATTTATCTGTCGACTTTAAAAGAAGTCTTACGTTTACTTGTAAAACCCTAACAGGAGAATCTTTGTTAGATTTGCATTTAGATTAGCCTACAAGACAAAAAGTGAAAAACAGGACCAGTTAGAGTAATAATTCACCTTTACAGAACACCACCCACCCTCTCTCTCAACAAAGACTTCTTCCTTGGTGCCAGAGAGGACACCAGCTCAGCCAGGGGACTGTGAAAGCAACACTTTATCGCTGAAATCCCTGCAGTCGATCTGTGAGGGCTGTACTGCACAGCTCTAAGTGATACGAGAGCAGGCCATGATGTGACACACACACTGTAGTGAGGCATTGAATGACACACCATCAGGAGAAAGGGTGTGTAATGCAGCTGTCAGCTGGGATGATCCCACAGGAAGTGTGATCTGGGATCAAGGCAGTATTCATACCCTCTCAGAGGTTCACCATGTAATGCATCCCCAAGACCCTCCACAGTTCTCTATACACTGAGGCCCCTGCTTTGTTATAACGGCAACTTAAACCTCCTGAACAATACGCTCAATGGCAGGGGATATCTGTGTGCAACCTCTAAACCTGTAAGGAGCAAGTTCCTCCATACAGTGGCCTGTTCACGCTCATAACAATCAATCTGGGAGATCTGTCCACTTTCTTATAGTGATGTTAAAGGGATGTAGCTGCTTGCAAAATATTTTAGATAATCAGTTTTAGAGCCCCTTCAGTTATATAACTCCTGTTCTGTTAGTCTGTTTTTTCATATTGTCATAAACTATGTTTTGTAAACTTGTTTTTGTGCTATAAGTGTTGTTTTGAGATATGGTTCTACATGTGTTGAGAGTAAAAGAGTGCTGTTCCTCATGCCCCAACATTTTAATAACAAATCAACAATATTATAACATGAACAGGAACCTATACAACCCAAATCTTTTATATATCGATGTATCTGTCTCTACCCGTTTTCCATACTTTATTTCTTTGGCTGTGACTGTGATAAAGGTATTAAATTGCATAATATGTGGTATACAAATTCTTTAAAAATATTAAATGTAACCCTGCAGAAACACTGTAAATGTTTAACATTTCTTTAAAGCAATAGAACAACACAAAATGTAAATTATTTACTCACTCACTTGTCAGTTGAAACTCCATTAAACTTTTGGACATGCAAGCAAAGCCCAGTACAGTATGAGACTGTGTAAATATATTTCCGGGATAGCACTCCTCACAAACCAAATGAAAGCATTTCTAAGTAGCCTATTTTGTCCTGAAAAAAGAAATGACATGCTTAGTTAAAATGTAGTGACAATTTCATAAGCCTCTAAACAAAGAGAGTGGAAATAAAGCAAAAAACAGCACAACAAAAAAACAATTTAGCCCCCATATTTCAATCTCAGCCTTCTCTCAAACATCTAGTCTTAGCTCGTTAAAAAGCACATGTCCATCACATTTTGATGGGAAGAAATAGCTGGTGCAGCATAATTAAAGTAGTTAGGTTTGGTTTTAATGTTCTTTTTGCACACACACCAAAAAGTAGTAACCAGAGCTGTTCACTCAAACATGAGATAATAATGTAAATTTTGGACTTTGCGGTCCATGGGGTACACAGTTGGCTGTTTGTGTAACTGTCTTAATGACCTTTACACTTTTTAGAACTGTAAATAGGTGAGCCTGTCAACTTAAGTGCTTTTTAATGAGGCTAAAATTGGACAACAGTTGCTAACACTCTTCTAGACTCAGAGCTTCAGCTAAACACTCCCTGTGCAATGCGTATGGTCCAGCAGCTGTTTGTCGAGGCATCCAGTCTTTTTATTTAGAAAAAAAAGCAGCCAGTGACCTTAAGTCAGTTTACTCTCCTCTCTAAAACCAGCTGGTTGTCCTTTTAGTTCACTCTGTGTTCTGTAATTGTCTGTTTGCATGAGCCTTCATCCTGTCGTAATTATAACTGTTCCATAAGAGGGTGATCATTTACATCCAATATGCCAACAGAATCACCAACTCCATCCGCTAACTGTTAATTGGTAGGCAGTCGATGCCAAATTGTGTTAAAGCTTGAAGAGATTTTGTTGCAGTTTTTGCTGCTAGATCATCTCAGAACTTTATTTTATATTCTGTTGTGTTTGCATTTACTCTATTACTAAAGTTATTTTGTGTGTTTTAAATGTGTAAGTGTTGTTTTAGTCTTTACAATCTGCCATCCAGTCTTTGCAACGCTTAAACTTGAACTTTATTATTTGGATTATTTTTATGTCCTACCTGTGTACCTACGCTTTGCCTAACAACCATTTGCCAAATTGCAAAGGAAGTTTTCTCTTTCTCTTCTCTACTCTCTGACTCAGGCCCGCCAACGCAGTGCCTCGCTGAGCTTGGCGAGTTGTGTCCCCATGTCTATTTATACTCCAGTGTGGGCTGCTTCACCCACGCCCAGTTGTACAAACTCACACTCTCACGTATTATGCTCACCGGCAAATCCAAAAAGGACACTCCTTCAGAAGCAGAGCGGGCCGGGTTAAAAAAGCAGGAGTCTCTGTCTGTCCTGTGTCACAATTACACACTTGATGTATATGCCAGCTTAACTAGAAGCACTGTGTGTCTTTACAGGAAGTGTACGTGGGGACAGAGACCATCTGCACAGTGGACGGGCTCCACTTCAACAGCACATACAAGTCCAGAGTGAAGGCCTTTAACGCCAGTGGAGTGGGCCAGTACAGCAAGACACTGATCATGCAGACCTCTGAGAGTATGTTAAGCATCATCCCCTCCTACCATTACATGTGACTGTCTATCTTTAAGGAAAAATGCACTGTCAAAACAGAATTCATTCATTTATTCCTCTGATCTCTGATGTTCTAGTCAGTATTTAGAATAAAGTTGTAATTTTCCATAAAGTAAGAATCCGGAAAGAACCAAGACTCAAAGTCTGTGTTGCCAGTAGAATAGGCTAGTGCCTCTCCAGTGGCAGGACTGAACTCAATCGCCTTCATGTATTTGTAATTATGAAAAGAAAACTTTATCTCAAGTTTACAGCATTTTTCAAAACAGTAGGTCTGAAACAGACATCAGCCGACATCAGCTTACTGCAGATTTATTAGTATCAGTGTAAATGTCGGCCGATAAGTGAGAAATTGTAGTATAGAAACAGCAAACTAGGTTTGAAGTAATTTAGAAACAGTGTCACCATTACACAGTTTGTCCACCAGAGAACAGAAGCTTATTTTTAAACATTTCAAATCTCGTGCTTAGTATTTATCTTGGTCACAAGTCTTACAATAACAAATCTAAGGGATCGGTATCAAGATTGTTTTTTTTTTGTTAAGAAATTTAGGACCTGCTATTGCATTACTATCCAATCGTTTAAACAACATTAGTATTGGCCTCATAATTCGTTATCAGTTGAGCTTTAGTCTGAGGCGCCGGCAGGCATGGAGATCTGTCCCAAAAGGCCAGAACGGAAAGACTGGATGCTGAGGCAGGGAAGTGAGGGGGTAATGTTCACTGGGTGAGCTAATGAGCTTGTGAAGATCAGGTGACTGACTGAAGTAGGAAAGGCAAACTGACTAGAGACAGAATATTGCAAGTGATATTATGAACTGGTTGTAGCCATGACAAAGAGAGGAAATAAAAGAAACAAGATAAATACAAGGACACAGTGTACAAAACTCAAAATATGAAGTTAAAAGATAAAACAAAGCCAAAGGTAGTTCCACAGCAGAAGGACATGACTGAATATACGTGTTACTCTGTGTTTCTTATCTTTTGGCACATTTCCAAATGTCTGCCACATGCTTGTTACTGTATCCCTGTGTTGTGTATTGTGCCCAAAAAGGTTTGACACACATTTATTTGCATGATCAGAAAGTTTATTGGTTACATTTCTATTGATTTCGTGATTGTTTAATGCTATGATGAAGCATGGCACACAAGTGATTGGCCATGTAGCGTTCGGATAGCTGGTATTTTATCACAGGTCTAGGGACAGAAATAGTATAGTTTCGTAGTTACTGGCATTTCATGAGATCACAGACTAGAGTCTTGGCTCAGTTTCCTTCTCCTTCTTGGGAATTTGCTGTTCATTAACAGCAAATAAATCTTGACTGAATTCACGAAGATCTTAAGAATAATAAATTGTTGCTGCCAGACTAACGCCTTGCATCTTCAGAGAGACAACTTCTCAGAAATTTAGGGGAAGAGAACTTATGTGGCTGCTTCCATGGCAATTTCTTTTTCTTATTTCAGATTGAAAACCATGCATTTCAAGCACCCAAGGGCCGTCAAACGTCCTCATCCTCTTTTATCTTTCATGTAACACAAAAAATAATAACAGTAAAAGCCTTTCAAAATGTCAGTTGCAAGGTTTTAACCCAAAAGCAGCAGCAGGATGTGAATTCTGTTCAAGGGTGTGTGTTTGAGCTTTTATACCAGGTACATCCAGGAGCAGCTGTTTTGTGATTAATCCATCCACGTGCTTGCTTTCCCATTAGTTAAATGCTGCTCTGCATATAAGGGGAAGCTTGTCATCCATCAGTGGACCTGAAAGGCCCAGACACCTTCCCTTATTGACAGAGAGAGCACTCATCAGCTGTTGGAGGCTGTAAAAAGTGACCCAATAACTGAGACATTTTTAGTATTTTTGTAGATATCTGACATCTTTCAATCTGACCAGTCTGTGCTTTGATTTTTGTCAGTTTTATTTCTCCCCATGGAACGACGGAAAAGCATGAATTTCTCCATCAGAACGGTGTTTCTCTTTGTCATCATATTCTTGTTCTTTTCAAGTCTCCCCTGATCTGTTTCTAGGAACTCTTTGGTTTTGTTTTTTGGGATCTCCCCAGTGGTGTTTAGGCCACTAAGTTGAACCAGCTTCCGTGATCAAACCTGCTTTTTGCCCTCTCCTCCATCCCTCCCAACCCTTCTACACTCTGCTTCACTGCTTCGCTACGCTCTCCTCCTTCTCCCTCTTTTTCTTCCTTTTTCCCTCTCTTCCTCTACCCCCCCCCCCCTCATTTCATATTTCAGCTGGACTTCCCCCATGCGATATTCAGTCTTTAGGCACAGGTATGGATGGCTCTCATTGCTGACTGTTTCAACTCTAATCCCCTCCTGGCCATTTCCTCTTTCATCAGTTCGGTCTTCACCCTCCAACCGGCAGGTGGGCAGTTTGCTGCTCTGTGGGCTGCACTTATTAAATGCTCAGTACATGCTTCTAATAAATGTCTTTGCTTTATTTCCTTTGGGAAATAAAGCCATGTAATGAAACTTTATAGCACATAGCGACACCAATGAAGTCCAGTGGAGCCCATCTAAAGCGCAAACGTCCATCTGTTAAACGCTCACATTCCTCGTTATAGAGCTATGTTACTATATTTTCAACCTTGAGTCAAACAGTTTGCAAAACTGTTAGTGTTTGATTTAGCCTGCTTGCAGTGTAATGTGTTGTAAGAGCTCAGAAAAGATAAAGGGTTAGTTCACCCAAGTTAAAGAACAAACCCCTGGTGATAACAGTCCAAGCAGGTAGTTGTGATTTGCTGAGGTTTGAATTCTACACCACTAACCCAGTTCAATGAATGTGAATTGACCTTTTGCTTGTGGTGCATTGGAAAATTAAAGCAGTATTAAATGTGTTGGGGGGTTTGCCACTTGGGGGCAGCGCAATATTTATATATTATTATCTTATAAAGTTTATATGGCAAACAATTAGCACATAGTTGCATATTTACATATTCAGTAGACACAGAACAACATTATAATTCATTTGGAGTTGTGATTCTGTGCACCTGGTATATGTAAGTCCATGAGCCATCAGTGATGCAGAGTTTGCACAGTTATCATGACAACTCCCTTCACTGATAAAGAAACAGCTAGTGAGTTTGGATTTACTTAGCTTTAGTTGTGTTATCTAGATGTCATAAACCCACACCCATCTGGTGTTCCTAGCAGGTGAAAACAAACGGCAATTATTATATGCAGACTGTCTGACACAGGTGTGATATTATAAAGAGTATTATTAATGATTAAGAGTTATAAGTTATAAGTTAAGTTATATAGTATGTTAAGAATGATTAATCATAATAATCATAATTATTCCTTTCATTAAGTATTTACAGTGTAACTTCACCTCATCTAACCTCCAGCCTAGATTCATGTCACCTCATGATCATTCTATCAGGTCTTGCAGTCAATATTATTGATGCTAAACTGTGTGTGCTGCTATTCCCGTATGTGTGCAGTTGCTTGGTTCACCTTTGACCCAGCCTCCGCTCACCCGGACATCATCCTCTCCAACGACAACCTGACGGTGACGTGCAACAGCTATGACGACAGGGTGGTCATGGGTAACTCAGCTTTCTCCCGCGGCGTTCATTACTGGGAAATGACCATTGATCGCTATGATAATCACCCGGACCCGGCCTTCGGGATCGCTCGGGGGGACGTCCTGAAGGATGTGATGCTGGGGAAGGATGACAAGGCCTGGGCCATGTATGTGGACAACAACCGCTCCTGGTTCATGCACAACAACTCGCACACCAACAGGTAAGGGATCAAAATAATAAATAATACTATCTTAATATTCGAATAACACTTTTCAATACATGTAACAAAGTGCTTTACAACAATCAATGTTCAACATAGACTCACACAGTATCATACACAGTTGTGTGCAACATATAACACATAAAGTCCATGTACAAGTAAAGCAGAAATGAATTATGCACATATAGTAGTTTGAATTAAGTGAATAAAACGCAAATCATGCAATATACAAGTAATGGAGTAATAAATGACCCATCACACATTAAAGGCTATTTTGTATAATTGAGTCTATAAATGAGATGAAACCAGGAGGAGACTCTGCAAGCCTGATCTCCTCTAGTAGACTGTTCCAGAGTGTAGGGGCCCTGACAACAAAGGCGCTGTCTCCTTTGGTTTTTAGCCTAGACCTTGGAATAGGTAGCAACGCAAGTGATTGTCCAGTACTAATGTAGATGAAGAATGGAAGACAAAAGCCTTTAGAGAACTAAAGCTATCAAATAAATGTAGTGGAGTAGAAGTAGAAAGAAGTAAAAAATGAGTAAGAAGCACCTCAGAATTGTTCATAAGAACAGTACTTGAGTAAATGTGCTTATTTGCTGTTTACCTCTGCTAACACAGTACAGCTACAGGATGGGAGGACATATATCCTGCAAGATGTTATTTTACATGAATATTTCTTTGGTTAATTTCTATCTGTGTGATCATGCAGGACAGACGGTGGCATCAGTAAAGGATCTACTATAGGAGTGCTGCTTGACTTCACACGCAGGATCCTTATCTTCCTCATCAATGATGAGCAGCAGGGTCCTGTGGCTTTTGAAGGCTTGGAGGGCGTCTATTACCCTGCTATCAGCATCAACCGAAATGTCCAGGTAGTAAAGAAGAATTATATGTTTTAAATGAACTGGGGAAAATCACATTAAATTTACAGTAACTGGTAAAGATGTATGCTTTTAAAACAACTCCAGGGGGGTACTGTTTTATAGCTTGCCCTAGCTTGCCCTTGTGCTAAAGATTCACCCCCCCTGAGCAATGCTGCAGGCGCAACAGAGATTTTTACTTGTAGAAATATCACATGAGTACAATTAGAATTCATTAAAACTGCTTTTCCAAGTTTTACAAATGTGGGCTCGAAGGATTAAACCTTGAAAGAGGAAGCTTCAAAGACTCAACAACAGTTAGTTGCTGTGAATTTCTTATTGCTCTCAGACAGTTTTCTCATTCTTAATGCTGTCTCTGGGTGATGAAAATAAAGTGTCTCAAAGACAAAACTCCCCAGTTACTAAGGAAACAGTTCAACAGCTCCACCTGCAGGCTTAAAATAAAAAAATCAAAGCTATTTGCCAACATTTATTAACCCATATATTTGTATGTGCATGTGTTTTTCTCCAGGTTACACTGCACACTGGATTACCCATCCCTGATTTCTACACCCCTGGGGAGGCTGATCCTAATGGCTCTGTGTGCTAAAGACTCACCACTACCCACAATGGTTGGGGGAAAACCTCTCCAGGATTTCGCAATGTTCATCCTGCCAGTAAATAACTATGATCCCAGCCTCACCCTCTCCTACCCAACTCGTCTTGTCCCCCTGCCCCATGACTCTCTGTTAGAGGCCCCATCCAGCGCTGAGCCATGCCTTTATAATGCCTAAACCTTGGACACGTGGACCATCTGCAGCACAGTGTCAAAATGTACAGTGCAATCTGTACCTTGTATTTTGACAAAATGCAGATAATTGAGGAACGTGAAATCGTGTTGAGAAATAATTGTGATCGCAAGCTGATGGACGTGGTATTATTGGCCGTGATCATAATATGTACGAAAAGGAATTGTTTGACAGTTATCAGTCTATTAGCTTAGCTTAGCTTAGCATAAAGCCTGGAAACATGGGGAAACATCTACAGCAGCCTAGCTCTGTCCAAAGTTCTACCAACACTCTAAAGCTCACTTATTAAATCATTATATCTCATTTGTTTCATCTGTACAAAAACAGAAATGTAAAAACGATATGTTCTGGTTTCACAGGCACAAAAAATAGCAACAGAACTGCTCATAAAAACACAACATAACATGTTAATACGTGATATTTAGAGGTTCTGGTATGTGGATTTGTTACTTTTAGACAGAGCCAGACTACCTGTTTACCTTTCTTTCCAGTAATTTAAGCTAAACAGCTGCTGGCTGTAGTTTCATATTTAGCATATGGCCATGAAAGTGGTCTCGGCCCTTTCATATAAATCGTGCCAAGAAAGCAAATAAGCACATTTCCTCAAATATTGAACTACTCCTTTATGGTTGTTTTGTAAATGAGTTGACTTATTAAAAGTATCCCCTGTCATAAGATCAACTTACAGTTCAGTATATTTTATTCGTAATTCGGATCCTTATTTCCTAAAAAGCAGTTAATTTCAATTTTATTTATATAGCACCAATTCATAACAGAAGTTTCACTTTTCATATAGAGCAGATCTAGACCGTACTCTTACTTTACAGAGACCCAACAATTCCCTCCATGATCAAAACTCTCTTTTAACAGGTAGAAACCTTGAGCAGGACCAGAAAAGGTTATAATAGTAATAATGATAGCAATAACAATAATAGCACTGATAATAATTTGTAGCAGCGGGTGTCGAGCTGGAACATGGGAGCAGTAGGTGGCTGGCAACCACAGATCCAGACTCCACAGCTCCGGAGGCAGAAACACCTGTAGAAAGCAACAGAATGACAGAGAAGAGGGACAAGAAAACACAAAACTACGAGAGAGAGAGAGGAAGTCAAGTTCGTAACATGCATTAATGGGTTAAGCATACAGATGGAGCGGGAGAGGAGGAGAGAGGAGCTCAGTGCATCATGGGAAGTTTCCTGGCAGTCTAGGCCTATAGCAGCATAACTAAGGGATGGTTCAGGACTCACCTAAGCCAGCCCTAACTATAAGCTTTATCAGGGGAAAGTCTTACTCTAAAATGTGGAGATGGTGTCTGCCTTCTGCACCCAAACTGAGACCTGATTCCACAGGTGAGGGGCTTGATATCTCAAGGCTCTGGCTCCCAATCTACTTTTGGAGACTCTATGAACCACAAGTAACTCTGGGGTTCTGGTGGGGTAATAAGGAACTATGAGCTCTTTATGATAAGATGGTGCCTGACCATTAGGAGCTGTGGAGTTAAAGGACATATCCTGATCAAAGATACTCCCAGCCAGATTTCAGTAAGACAAAATAAATCAAAATGATAATCTGATATTAAATCATTTACTAGTACAGCTTTAGATGAAAGAGAATTCCACATTTAATTCTCCTATTTTCTTTGGAAATGTATTTATTATTTATTTGTTCTGGGTAACTGCTTTAAAAAGGACACATTAACAAATCAAAAATCCTGTGTATTTCTTTTCCTGCCGTCAGTCATGAACATCCTTACACAGTGAAATCACCAGGGGGAGGATGAGAGGTGTTCTTTTTGTGTTTGTGTGAATGTGTGTGAGGGGGGTGGATGGGTTGAGACTTATCAGCAGCTGCAACGATCCCTGGACGAGAGCAATAGTCTGATTCTCAGCCGCGTCCCTGTCGTACCCTCATCCGTGTACATGAGATGCTTTTCTTAGTGGCTTAGCTCATGTGAACCTTCTGTATCGTCTGTAAAAAACTATTTCAAAATACAGCTTCAGCATATGAAATGCTACGGGAAGCAAGGCCTTCATGCGGCCTCTTCTCTGCGGTGCAGCTCTTAAAACAGGAGGGGCGGATTTTGGTCTGATGTATCATAAAAGTGGGATTTTCTGTGCATTGATGGATGTTGAAAATGGTTTGAAGATGATTGTGTTGTTTGAATAAGGTGCTACAGCAGCTCGCTTCATTCTGGCTTTTTTTACTCTAGGTGACTGAATCCTGGTAGTTTTGTAATATTGTTTTTGAAATGATCTATAGCAGAAAAGTGTATAGCTAAATACTGTAACTTATTGATGTTCAGAGTTTTTCAATGAGAATTCATCATTATTCCTTTATTTGATGTATACTTATTACAGAAAGAAAGCAACTGAATCTTTTTGTCGCTTTAAAAATGTGGTCTGGAGTTTGTTCTTGAATTGAAAAAAGGCTTTTCAGTAATCGTGAGAACCAGTTTATGTCCTACTAAAGCAACTGGAAAGGTGGTGATGCACTGGGATGGACTTGTGGCGTCGCATTTGGGCAACAGCCTCCTCAACAGGCAACAGTGTCAGACAGAATTTTTTAAAGACCAAGCCATGCTAGCTGTTATGTGATGTGTACTAAGCTACATGCTAATGTTGTGATGCTAACATGCAGATGTTATATGCAGGTTTGATGTTTACCATGTTCACCATCATAGTTTTGCGGATTAGGTATTCTAGATTAGTTTTAGTATTGCAGGTAAAGTATTTGACTAATTTAAATATTGACCTGATGATGGAGCGAGAGAAATTCATTTTTATTAAAATTCATCATGATGAGAACATGAATGTGTGTACCAAATTTCATGGCAATCATTCAACAGACATCTCACTGAAAACCAAAAATTCGTTCAAACTCATGGTGGCGAGGAAAAGACAGATTATCACCAAAGTATGTTATATTCATCTTCTGGGGATCATGATTGTCTGCACAAAATATCAAAAAGCAATCCCTCCAACTTTGTTTTGATATTTTAGTCCCGAAAAAAGGTGGCTTGCATGGCTAAAAAATGTTTACTTACTGGCAGCAGCAACTGAAGTCAAAATGTGGAGAGCTCAGTTTGAGGGAACTGTTGCCCTTCATGTTCCCTGTGCATCGTCACCCTGATACATACAGTACATGTCTAGCATTCACATAAGGTGCTGTCCTGTGTTTGAGCTTCATGGGTGTGCCTTTTCCCCTCTTCAATACCCAAACAATTTATGAAACTTTGCTACAAACCAGATTCATTGCTTCAGCAGAGTCAACTGTAACATCTGTGATGCCTGACTTCGTCTGCTGCTACTTATTTTTTCTATCGGTAAAAGGGCAAACTCAACAATAATCATGTTTGTTATGGATATAATAACCACAGTAATGAAGGGAATATTACAGTAAGGTATGGCAAGGTGTCTTTCATAACCTCTAAATACTCTGTGATTTTATTTCTTTTCTCTTCCCCCAGGGTAAAACTGATTGTAAATGACTGCACACAGTAAACTATATGATTTTTATTATGTGCATGTGTGCTGACAATGATAAACTAAACCAAGTTGCACGGCCTTTGCTGCAAAGCTGCATTCAAGCTTTGATTAATGCAACATTTAATTGCTGTATTTTAGGGTAAGCCTTTTGTCCAGCCGTAATTATAATACCACAGTACAAAAGCAGCCCGTTCAGCAGTGGGTCACTGAGCAGTGAGAGCTTCCTTTGACTCATACAGAGACAAGTGCAGCCATTATCACAGCATTACACAACCTCAGATTCCAGGACGAATAAACAAAATGGCTTTAATTCAGCAAAACAGAGACAGAGAACACGTTAAAGGGATTTTCTGTTTATCCAGTTGGATGTGACACACGTTACTTTTCAACACAAATTATCTTCTCATGGAACATTTTCTGTGTGAATATGGGAAGCCATATCAACATCTGTACTACATACACGAGAGTGCTGACATTAACAAGTGTGTGATTGTAACATTTATTATTTCTAAACCAGTTAAATACACTTTGATGATATTAAACTATAGACCCCGGGATGATTTAAAGTCTATCATACAGCCTCGTCAAAACTTTATGAATTATTAAAAGCTTACACAGTCGCTGGGCGACACTGGGTGTTATATCTCCAAATGTACAGACATATATGTGTGTGGGACTGAGTGTGTGTGAGTATGTGTTAGCTGCATTATAACTTTATTTTACTTTTAAAAGTGATTATTTCTGCCCTGTTTGAGCCGAGGTGGAATGTCATCACTCGATATTATTATTTACAGTGATACTGAAATACGTCTATGGAAAATTTTATGAACATAAAGTGAACATCGTTTTTACTATGATTTAATGATTTAATGATTATTATGATTGTTATGATTCTATGTCTATCATTACCACGTTACTGCTATTATTATGATGATCTGAAGTGTAAAATGGGCCTCTGTGTTTTTTTGTATGTGTGAATATTCAATAAATAGGTGTCAACAAGGTATTATGTTGCCTGGAATTTGTACTCCTACGTCACAGGTTTCTTGCAGACTGCATCAGATTCTCTTCCTGTAAGCCTCCCATGGTTGGCTGCAGAGAAGCATCTCCATGGCATGATGCAGCCACCACCATGCATCACACTGGGGATGCTATGTTTATGATTAATGCAAACTGACAGCATTAATTATTTAGAGCTTTTATCCAAAGGGCTTTACACTTTCCCGCTCATTCACCCAGTCTTACACAACAATCTAAGTGTAAGTGTACAATTGGAGTGTAAACAATAAGTCAAAATAACATTGTCACATCAATTTGAATTAATTGATGATAAAAATTAGTTAGAAGTGTAAATCCTTGAAATTTGTGCCAACCTAAACTGCACAAAACTTTCATTCCTTCATATCTGTAGTCTGCACCTCTTCCTGCTGCTCAGCATTGCAGCTCGGCAGGGGCTGGCCAGGGAAACACCCTCCCCCTGCACTCACCAATGAAAAAAGCAAAAGGAGGAGACTCTTGCATGAAAAACTGCCACCATCTTACCTTTCAACTTCACTTCCAGCCTGCATACAATTACAGTAACTCTGGACAAAACTGCCCACCCAGCATGGCGAAACCTCTCACAGACCAGGAGAAGCGCAAGCAGATCAGCATCAGGGGGATTGTAGGAGTGGAGAATGTTGCAGAGCTGAAGAAGGGCTTCAATCGTCACCTGCACTTCACCCTGGTGAAAGACAGAAACATTGCTACACCCAGGGATTATTACTTTGCCTTAGCTCACACTGTGAGAGATCACCTGGTGGGGAGATGGATCAGAACACAACAGTTTTACTATGAAGCAGACCCAAAGGTAAAGATCAGATGTTTCAGTGTCAATGTGAAACTAAACTAGATCGCATATTGTAAATATACACTCCACATGCACTTCAGAGTATGATACAGCTGCAAAACATTACAAAATAGCTCTAAATACAGATAATTTTCATCTAAAAGATGTTCCTTGCAAAACAGAGAAACATTTGAAAGTTGTTTTGAACTTCCTTGTTCTTTAAGTACAAATATATTCTGCTCACTTAAACCATATTTCATTCTACCTGCATGGTTTGTGTTTGTTTTGAACAAAAGCCATAAATGCATTCCAAAGAGCACATGCTTTCACATGTTGTTACATTTTTATGGGAATTAGTTTTGTGCAATGTTTTTCTGTTGCAATAAACAGTCTGGACATACAGGAAGCACAGTATTTTAACATCATTGGATCATGTTTAAACTGCTATTTTGTGCAAGAAAAGGTTTGCTTGTTCCAGTTTTACTGCCTAGTGTGACTCGTTCAAACCACTATCAAAGTTTATCACATTTATTTGCAGTTCATCTTTAATCTATAAAGTATCTGAAAATATGTAGTGTGTGCAAAGAAACGCTGTGTTTCAGATTTTTTATTTTTACATGTCCAGAGGGTGTATTATCTGTCTCTGGAGTTCTACATGGGCAGGACTCTCCAAAACACAATGATCAACCTCGGACTGCAGAACGCCTGCGATGAAGCCATCTACCAGGTCAGACATAAATTTAAAAGAAATAGAGGCAGCAACAAGCACAAATGCACATGTTGAACACACAAAATGAGTTTTGATAACCTGTTAACAGTAGGCTTATATGTTTCCTTCTGCTGTAGCTCGGCCTGGACATGGAGGAGCTAGAGGAGATGGAGGAGGATGCAGGCCTGGGGAATGGAGGTCTGGGCAGACTGGCAGGTGAGGGAGATCGAGTTAAGGAGACAGGGTTTCATTATATCCTCACTACTCTAAACAATTCAAAGTTACTGGAAAAATGGAGAAGCAAGAAAAGAAAAGGCTTTAAGACCAGTCATTTCCCTACATCTCTATTACAACAATACTCCATTATAATGCTAGGGATTTTTTGGCAATTGCCCAATAAATAGACACTGTGTGTCTATTGAACTTTTGAAGCAACTTGCAGAAATGTTGCAACAGAATGTATAAATGAACATTTCACTTCCCCCACTAGCACCGTGCATTGTGTTCCTCAATTCCGTGCTAAATTTTGTAATTTCATTTTATATCTAATTGTAAAGTTTGTGAGGATGTAGCAATAGCTCTGTCTGTAGGGACTTGGGAAATGAATGGTGGCCAATTCAAGTCCAGAATTGTATGAAGTGTAGACTGTTAACTAGAGAGGTGTCTTCTTTTTTCTGCACACAGCATGTTTCTTGGATTCGATGGCCACCTTGGGTCTTGCAGCGTACGGTTATGGCATCCGATATGAATATGGAATCTTTAACCAGAAGATAAGAGATGGATGGCAGGTAACTGCAGCTACAAACATATTTTCTACTAATTTAAGTTAATCAAAACACCTGCTGTCTTTAACTTTCAAATACAGTCTTATAAGCTTAATTTGACCTAAAATGACAAGATATCTCACTACAGACACACCTGTTTCTCTCTCAAGTTTATAGATCCTGTTTTATCTTTTACTTTGAATTTCAGGATTCCTTTTCAGGCCATGCTCATGCTGTTAGGAATCAAAGTGGAGCATGACCAAAGTAGATATGAATTAGGTCAGAATACATCACAAGTGAATCATTAACAGTGAGGCTTGTGGTCTGCACCCCTTTAACAACACTGCAGTGGTGCAAGCTCCTGGCAGAAGCTGGTTTTGGTTGTAATATGAGAGCACAAAATAAACATTGCGTATTTTGTGATAAGAGATCCCCAAACTAAAGACTTTTGCCCTTTTGAATTCTGCTGGTTATTTGCTGTTGCAGTGTAAACATGCACTTCTGAACAATGAACTGGATTACCTATCAAGTGTTTTCTCATTGCTGCTAGTGGACAGTAAATGTAGCTGATTTTATTCTGCATTTTACACTAAATCTAATCATGGATCTGTTTGGGTTTGACATAACATTGTAATCATTTGATCACAAAAATGATAATCACCAAAGGGAAATTATTTTTCTTACCTCCATCTACTACAAGATGTCAGAGGTCAGATAAGGTAGAGTTTTGATGTCTTGCTTGATTCTTCTTCTCTATTATATTTAATCTTTTTATCTTTGACCTGGATTGACCTTTTGTAGGTGGAGGAGGCAGATGATTGGCTGAGACATGGAAATCCATGGGAGAAAGCACGTCCTGAGTACATGTTGCCAGTTCACTTCTATGGACGAGTAGAGGAGACGAGAGATGGCACCAAATGGGTCGACACTCAGGTACCGAAGATGTGTACAAATTACAGTAGGTACTGAGTAGACCGGGGCAGGGGTGTCCCCTGCCAGAGTCAGAAGGTGATAGGTAGTTGGCATGTTAGTATCATGGTTGCATTACCAATCATTGTGAAGTGACTTTTAACAATTGTTAATGGAAAGTCACTACCACAAAGAGACACAAAACAACTAGAGATACAAAATTAGTACAAAGTGACGTGATGCAAAATGACTCCAAAAAGTTGTAAAACGACTACAAAGTGACACAAAACAACTACAAAGAGATGACAAATGACCAGAAACGACACAGCCGTTTGTCTTGGGGTTTCGCTGCTATGTAGAAGGGGTGGGGCTCCTTTTACACGTCTGTCCAGGGGCCCACTGTCTCATAAACTGTAGTTTATTTGACACTATTAATAATAATGGACAGTTTATTATTGCCAAGAACCAGGGCTTTACATGTGAGTCTTAACGCATGTTTACTTTAATTTTGTTTTCCACATTTTAGAAGATTTTAAACCTGCCTCTGTGTAAGATTACTTTTATTTTGCTTTTATTTTCTAGGCTTTTATACTGTGTCTTCCTGCTAATTTACTGTTTTCACTTTTATCTGTGCAGGTGGTTTTGGCGATGCCTTATGACACACCCATCCCTGGCTATATGAACAACACTGTAAATACCATGAGGCTGTGGTCCGCTCGTGCCCCCAACGACTTTAACTTGAGAGACTGTGAGTGATGAAGCCATTTTGACCATTTCTAATGAAAAACCACTTTTGCAAAACAGTCTTTGCTTTCAGTTTTCAATAGGAAAACCTTGCAAGAAAGAAGGAAACTGCTGCAACGCTGGTACATTGTGAAAAGATGTCTGTGTTACAAAATAGCTTAAAGTTTTTTTTTTAGTTAAATTTTTTACTTTAAATTACAAAAACTATAAAATTAAATATGTATGAAATTTAGTGCCAAAGTAACTAAAATGCATTTTTTACTGTCTGTAGTTAATGTTGGAGATTACATCCAGGCTGTTCTGGACAGAAATCTGGCAGAGAACATCTCCCGTGTTCTCTACCCCAATGACAATGTAAGTTCAACATACATTATGTCATTAAGCACATGTTAATGCATCTATGCAGCAAAATCCCACAGTTATACTGATGGGTGCCCGATAATGCCTGAACATTTTGCATCACAAGGTCATCATCTTCCACAAGAAACGCACTGATAATCTCTTCTGTCAAAAAATGTCTACTGTACTAAAATCAAGACCATAACTATCTCTGTGGTCTCTCCTACATGCTGTAGTTCTTTGAAGGAAAAGAGCTGCGCCTGAAGCAGGAGTACTTTGTTGTGGCGGCCACACTCCAAGACATCATCCGCCGCTTCAAGACAACTAAAAAGGGCGCCCCGGGCCGAACCTCTTTTGAGAGCTTTCCAGACAAAGTAAGCTGCAAAATCAGTCATTTAGCTGGAGCTCAAGAAGTAAGTGTCTGTAATGGAAAAGTTACTTATTTTCTTTTCATAACCTCATTTATTGGCCAGAGGGAATCAGATAGCCTCCTGGTTTAAGGCCTGTAGCATACTCAGAAAAAAGAAATCGTGTTTCATATATTATGATGAAAAATAGATATTTGCACCTCTCAGTCAAATGCGTTATTGGCCTGAAAAGTAAATTTGTTACAGCAACTGCAGACACATCTTTCATATCACCAAGTGAGGAATCTCTGTTAAGTTAGAATTCGTGCAGATAATGTTTCAGATATTAAACGCCTGCAGCCCTGTGTTTTTCCTTTTAATGTTTCACAGCTGCTCCTTTAATCCTCCATCTAATAACACAGAAAGTAGGATAGATTTAAAGTTAACCACTTACAACCAAACTGTAAAATAACAGAACCAATACCTCATACAACAGACTCTCCTGTTATTCAGTTAGCTGAGGTAAAATCAATAACAAGGTGGCAGATAAACAGTGTCACTACATCATGCCGTGTCGTTTCCAGGTCGCCATCCAGTTGAATGACACTCATCCAGCCATGGCCATCCCCGAGCTGATGAGAATCTTTGTGGACATTGAGAAACTTGACTGGGACACGGTGAGTGAGAGACAGATTTGGTAGATCAGTGTGACTTACAATGAGCTTAGATAAGGAAATCATGACCACAGAACCACAGAACTTGACAAATAAAACAGAACAGAAGTGTCTGTGTTGCAAAATATTCATGTGCAATGCTGAAAGTTGTCAGCCAGGTTAAGAAATAAAATCCAGGCACGCAGAGGTGGTTTGGTGGTCAAGTAAATTAGCACAGCTAGGGAAGGAAGAAGGCAAAATATTAAGTAAGAAGAAAGTTGCTTTGTTCATAAGTAATTAAATACAAAGCTCAAGTGTCAAAACATAAACTGGCCCCTCCTCTGTAGGCCTGGGACCTCACTAGGCGCACTTTTGCATACACCAATCACACAGTCCTCCCCGAGGCTCTGGAGCGCTGGCCTGTGCAGCTGCTGGAGAAGCTTCTGCCCAGACACCTGCAGATCATCTACCAGATCAACCAGGTCCACCTCGACGTACGTACTGTAGCTCAGACACTGCAAAAAGAGAAATAAGTTAATGTTCTTTATGGACTGAACGTATCTTTGACACATGAATCTGAGATCCTAAAGGCGTGTCTGTTTACAGAGGATTGCTGCTCTCTATCCAAAAGACATGGACAAACTGAGGAAAATGTCTCTGATTGAAGAAGATGGATGCAAGAGGGTGAACATGGCGCACCTGTGCATTGTGGGATCTCACGCTGTTAACGGAGTAGCTGAGATACACTCCAACATCATTAAGACTGAAACGTAAGTCTTCTGCTGATGACACACCACTTCAAAAATGTGTACAAAATAACGGAAACACAAAGTAATGTACAATGAAGCAAAACACTATGGGCTACAAAGACCAAGCTATAGCTCCATTAAACAATGGAACAAAGAAAACAGTGGTCGAACTGCGTCAGCAAAAGGAAGCTCCGTCCAACTGAGCCCATACAAAGTGGCACATGGTACTCCTCGTGTTTTTGGAAACATTAGAACAAATGTCTGTTTGCATTTTAATTATGGTGGAATGTGAAATAACGTGGTTTTGTACATAATTCTGTTCTATGTGTCTTTGTATTGTGTCATTGTATTCAATTTTATTTTACTGATATGGACCTACGTGTCTGAAATAAAGTTGACTGATAATACATACAAAAATGGGCAGCACGTGATATATTAACAAGATGAAACAAAAATGCTGGTATGTTCCTTTAACTACCTGGTACATATATGTACATTATTCAGATGTTTCCATTATTTTGTCTATGAGAGACCAAATTAAGTTCTTCCTCAAGAACATTTCACCATTTTTCTCTTACAGATTTCGTGATTTCAATGAACTAGAACCGAAGAAATTCCAGAACAAAACCAACGGCATCACTCCCAGACGCTGGCTTCTGCTCTGCAACCCCGGACTGGCTGAGCTTATAGCTGAGGTCTGTTTGAGGTGCCTGAGCAATAAATGAATAAACAAACGACTGCCAAGAGTTGTTGTAGTGGTTAAGACCCCTGAATCCTCATCAATATATACCCCAGCTGTCATATCAATCTTGGCATAGCATATTCTGTGTTTGTTTGTTTTTTACACCACTTGTTCCAGTCAATGTATATAGAATAAGAGGTGGTGTAGTAAACTCAACAGTTTTGCACATATTTTATTGTGCCCTTTAATATCTTTCAGGTCATTGGGGAGGATTATGTGAAGGACCTCAACCAGCTACAGAAGCTGAATGACTTTGTTGATAATGCTGCCCTGATCCGTGATGTATCCAAAGTGAAACAGGTAGAGTGCAAAGTACTGTACTCAAGTAAATGCTCCGTATTTGTATTGCGCCTTTCTTGTCTTTTCGACCACTCAAAGCACTTTTACACTACATCACATTCACCATTCACACACTGAGTCTAAGTGCGCAAACAGAAATTAACATTCATACACATTCATAGACTGGTGGAACAGCTTCTTCATACCTGTTATTCTGATACATTTCAGAGGGAAATAATGATTTAAAAAAAATAAACAAAGCATAATAAGTTAAACCACATTAAACAGTGGTTTCCATTGGTTTCCTAAAAAAGGTCTTTCGTGGCATGGTTGCATGATGCTGTTATACATGCATAGTGGGCTTTGTTCTAAATGTCCTGTTGCACCACGAATCCATGCAGTTTAACGTAAATAGCACCAACCTAGTACCTGTATCTGTGTACAGTTAAAAAATATATAATAATAACGCTCTTGTGTAATTTGCATGCCATTGCAGGCAAACATTACAATCAGTTTTATGTGTGCATTGCAGGGTTGCATTTTGCAGCTCTGAAGTCCAAGTGAAGTAAAGTACGTGTCAGGACAGACCACACCTGTGATTCAGCAACTTCACCTCAATGAATAACTCATTTGTTGCCAAGTCACGTATCGCTGATTTCCTTCCAGGACAACAAGGTGAAATTTGCCCAATACCTGGAGAACGAGTACAGGGTGAAAATAAATGCATCCTCCATGTTTGATGTCCACGTGAAGAGAATCCACGAGTACAAGCGGCAACTCCTCAACTGCCTGCACATCATCGTCATGTACAACCGTATGTGAAATCCCTTGTTATTAAGTGAAGGTTTCACAATCCATCACATAATCTGACATGTACTAATGTGGAAGATTCCCGACCTGACCAGTGCTCCGAGCAAGTTAAATCAACCACATGCATCTGCCATTTAAATCAAGTGTGGTCTTTTTCCATGCAATCATCAGGCTGTGATAATCAGGAAAGGAGTTTCATGAGCAGTTCTGTTTTGTGCAACATGCAGTTTACTTTGATGCTTAGTTTCTTTGCATCCAAAACCTTTACCTTTCTGGGGACTTTTCCCATCAAATATGTCATACCTTTCTATAGTACATTTCATAGAAAACTGGCAATTTAATGTCCTTCGCATAAAAGATGAAAAGATATAAGTTAGTAGACAGACCTATCACCAAACAATCCATGCTACAGCCATGCTAGCCCAAGAGCTGTAGCCTAATTGCTAATATTAGCATGCTAACATGCTGAAAAAATGAAATGTTAAGCCTTCACCAAAGTTATTACAATTCATCATGAGGGGAACATGAATGTTCATACCAAATCTTGTGGCAATCAATCTGATGGTTGTTGAGACAGTTCACTAAAAACCACACTTGTCAATCTCATTGTGACACATGAAAAGTCAGGGAATCACCAAAGTCAGTAGGATCCATCCTCTGTAGTCATGGACATTGCTATCCTTGGAGCCACATTACCATGGCCAAAAACAACACATAAAATGTTAGGGAAAAAATGTAAAACCAAAGTGGACACAATTCTAATTAAAGGCATCACTTAAAAAGTAAGTTTTTCATTTAAAACAGGCCAGAGTTGGAAAGTGACTACAATCAACCAGAAGGTTTTTCCATGTGTGTGCAGCATGGAAGCAAAATGCAAGGTTCATATGACTTGAAAGAAGTCATGGTATGTTAAAATCAACTCGCTGACTATTTGTAGTCTGTGTAGACATGACAAAGGGTACTGGTATGTGTTCATATTTCTGTATTTATATTGTTTTTGTTAAAACTGCATCACTTTGAAAGCCTTTGTGTCCTTTTTTGTTTCCCAAGGAATCAGAAAGAACCCCACTGCACCTTTTGTACCACGAACGGTGATCATCGGGGGAAAGGTACTGGCTCAGCCAAAGCAGACCTGACAAACCGCTCAGATTAAGTCCAATAAACAAGAACGGTGAAGATATTTTTGTTTTAGACTGTCACCCACTGTCACCCTCTGCAGGCTGCTCCTGGGTATCACATGGCGAAGCTAATCATCAAGCTGATCACCTCAGTGGCTGATGTGGTAAATAATGACCCTGTGGTGGGAAACAAGCTGAAGGTAATCTACCTGGAGAACTACAGGGTCTCTCTAGCAGAGAAAGGTACATTCAGATAACTTTCTTTGACACCTGCACATTTTTGTTCAAAAACATGTGCATGTGCAAAATTCTCATTTTAAGGGTTCATTCATTCATAGTTCACCAAAAATGTAAATCTTAACTCGGGTCATCTGCTGTTCCTCAGTGATACCTGCCACAGATTTGTCAGAGCAGATCTCCACTGCTGGCACTGAAGCCTCAGGAACAGGGAACATGAAGTTCATGCTGAATGGAGCGCTGACCATCGGCACCATGGATGGAGCCAATGTGGAGATGGCTGAGGAGGCTGGGGAGGAGAACCTGTTCATCTTTGGCATGAGGGTGGAGGATGTGGCTGAAATGGACAAAAGGGGGTAAATGAGTGTATTTTATTGTTTACTTTTGTATTATGTCTCTATAGCTCTTTTTAAGGTGTTAGAACTACATTAATTATGGGCTTTCCCCCCCTTAGATATGATGCCATGTCGTATTATAAGAAGATTCCTGAACTGAAAGAAGTGATGGACCAGATTACAAGTGGATTTTTCAGCCCCAGAAATCCAGAGCTTTTCAAAGACCTCACAAACATGCTCTTCAACCATGACCGGTAGGCAAGATATATTCTTTACTTTCTGTTCTGAAATGCTGTAGCCCAGTTTAAGCTATTTATCTCCACCAACTTAAAAATGTTTAATTCTAATGATGGATGTCAAACTTCTGTACACTTTATGGCTTTTTTTTTTTTGTTAACTTCAAACTGTCAGAATTGATTTACTTATCCTCTCATATCTCTTCAGTTTCAAAGTGTTTGCCGACTTTGAAGACTACATCAAATGCCAAGGGAAAGTCAACAAGCTCTATCAGGTAACATTTGCCTCAAACACACCTGGGGCCTGTACTACTTAGTGAGATTAGTGGGTTAGCCATCTACCTTTAGGCTTTACTCAGGTTTTTCCGGTGTCACGAAGCTGGCTCACTTTTAACTGGGATAGATCACCATGGTAACCCATACCACATGGCTAACCTGCAGGTGTTGATGTGATTCAGAGGATTAGATCAAAACCATCATTCCCGACAGGATACCGAACAGTGTTGATGCGTTTTACAGTTTTATTGCATCACTGCAGCTCTGGATAACACAAGGCAACTTTGTGATGAGAGTTGGAGATGAAAACTAAACCCTGTCTTTTATTAGAAAAACAGTCCACACACTGTTTATTATCAGACAGTCCGCATCAGTCATTAATCACTTGCTTTGGCAGCAGAAACAGTCTGACATTAATTATGTGCATCACATTATCATAATAGTAAATAAAGTAAAAAAAAATACTCATATATAATCATTCCTGTTCTCACTTAAAGACTTAAACTCATGGACTCAGGAAATTATTTATATTGTGTCTACAGCTTCTTATTTCATTGTAGTTATTTGATTATATTGTATACATTTCACCTCTTTGAATATCACATTTTGCTGTCTGTATCACCAAATTTTCCGAAAGGTATCTGATTTCATAGTTTAAAGCTCTTTCACATGAACAGGCTCATAGCTGGATTGGAAAACCCAGAGTTAACCGAGCCAGCTGATAACCAGCTTGGTGATGCCATGTGTCCAGGATCACCAATGTTAGGTTCAGTGTAGCAAGGTAACCCAAAGAGAACCAGACTAAGTTGGACTTGTGTGGGTTCAGGCTCCCAGATCTTTTGCAAACTCTTGCTATGGATTAAATATTTCTGCTTTGGTGGGCTTTGCTTATTGGAGCGTGCCAGACAACCATCCGGGCCTACATGTTTCTTTTACTTAGTTTTCTTTTTTGTTTTGTTTTATTTTACTTTCTTTTTTTCTCATCTTTTCTTTTATAATAGTAATGATACAATGTTTTTAGGCCGGAATCCATCAGGACATATAAAACCTATAATAAAAATGTTTTATTTTTCTCCAGAATCCACAGGAGTGGACAAAGATGGTGATCAAGAACATCGCTGCAACAGGAAAGTTCTCCAGCGACAGAACCATCACACAGTACGCCACTGAGGTGTGGGGCGTCGAGCCGACTGACCTGAAGATCCCGCCTCCGAATGAGCCGAGAGAGGCCATTGAGGAAACGGCCCGAGCTCTGAAGAAAATGTGAGGCTGCTTCACTAACGAGGCCTACCTTCATGTTTACAAATCATTTATTGTTCCTTCCCTGCTGTGCCTTTAACCTTAACTTTACATATCACTGAACCTTTTTCAAGAACTTGAAAGAGCGTTTCAGAAATCAGATCTGCACGTTTTCATTTTCTGAACACTTTTTACTGTCACAACACCTGAGTCAAGAACATTGCATTAAAACGTGTCTGTTACAATCCTTTAGCACAAATACATACAATAAACCACAAGTCAGTATGGAGAGCCGAGAAGTCAAATACTTCATACTTCATATTTTACATTTCTGGAGATCAGGATTGGTGAGGCTGCTGCATGTCAGGAATTCAGTAGTAACTGAGCAGCTGACTAAACTGTATTTTTAACTACATTAAACATAGACTGAAACATTTCTAAGACTTATTTGCATCTGTATCAGTATCAACTTGACTAAGGAAAGGAACAAAAAACTTCACTTGTGATCTACAGTATTTTGTCCGAGTGTTGAAATAAAAAGGTATTCTGCCATGTGAGATAAATTCTTGTGTTTCTGTTTTTATTCACACACACACCGAGCAAAATGAAGACTGCAGGAGGGAGAGCCAATTTACTGTCTCAGGTTTTGAAGAAATTTCCTGCAACAAAAACAGATGAAATATTACAAAGTTTCTGAGGGTTTTTGGTTTATGGGCAGGATTTACAAGAAAAACACATTTAAAACGTATTAAAAGACACATTCATTGTTAGACAAGCATCAGTTGTTGGTATAATTCATAAACTTTTTACCAGGATTGGCTGTTTTTGATGAAGTTTTTATACTTGTGTTTTCTTGTTTTTGCACGTTAGCACAACAGTTACTGTAAAATTTATATCAGTTTTGACTAAACTTACCCAACAACATTTGACAGATTGGGATCTAAGTAGATTTTGCCATGGGAGAATGCAAGATTTGCACTGTAGGAGATCATTTCAACCCGAACATTTGTGTTATATTTCTTCTTAGCCTGCAGTGATATCTGGTACAGCTAGAGACCATCAAAATGCAAAGTAATTCAGAAAGGAGGCAGCAACATCTGTTAGGAAATGATCTAAACACTGAAAGGAAGCACACATGAAGACCTACTGTACCTTTAGACCCATGTGATAAGGTATTACATTGTCATCCTCTGCATGCAGAATAAGAAGTGGACTGGTCAAGGCCTGTAAACTACGTAGATATTGGGGTAAAATATATATTCACAATCAGAGATAGTTGTCTTTAGCGGAATAAAATGTATTTAGCACCATTTAATAATTTATTTGCATGCACTTTTTTAAAAGCGTACTTACTTTTTATCGTTAGCAAATACAATGTTGTTCATCTCCAATATGTTCCAAAGCAAGCTATCAAATCCTGGAAGGAACCTGTAAATCTGGAAAAACCCAGTGTACAAATTGTGTAGCAATTTCTTGTGTACTGTAATAACATACAAATTTACATTTATTCATTTTAGCTGAAGCGACTTACAATTGCTATACATTTCAGAGGTCACATGCCGCTGGAGCAACTAGGGGTTAAGTGTCTTGCTATGAAATAATTTCAGAAAAGTGTTTAGTGAGCTGTGTGTGGTTTTTGTTGAGCGATTTCCACATGGTAAACAAAATCAATTTCAAAATATTTTCATTTCAAGCCTTTTTACTGTTTTTAGTCTAACTGTGTGCCACAGTTGAGCTTGAATAGAGTAAAGTAAAATATGAGCTGTGGTTTCTCAGTGGTCCTGTCATATAAACACAATTTATGGGTTCAAATCCATCAAATCTTTGACTTTTATTCCATCTCTCTTTCCCCAGTTTTTTCCTGTTCCCTCAGCTTCTGTACAGTCTCTTTAAAAATCCCCTGTAATCTTTGTATTTATTTATTTACTATTTGCTATAGCTGTAAATGTTCATGTCTTTGTATTTGCACATGACAGTTTTTTGAAACAAGATATTATTTTGCCAGCTGTGTTGTCGTGGATTAACAAACACACTGAGGGGTTACAGACAGACAAAAACGCAACAACTGGCCTCACCTTAGTGAACGGGTGGATGGCTACAGCTTCTCCAATACTTGTGTATGGAGCTTCAAGGATTAGAGCGTCAACAACAGACCCTGATATTAAAGACAAAAACAAAAATGAAAATAAATCAGATTATAAAACAAACAAAAAATATGGATGGATGGGGAATTCCTTTTAAATGTCACGGCTTATTAAGGCAATATTTATGGACTTCCTTGTGTAATCTAATGTATTGTAGACTAATGTTCACATGAAATGCAGTGTATAGTTCACAGTTCCAATTCTCCTGCCCTTACAGGCCCTGCACACCCACACAATAGTTTTGAGTTATTCTGACTGATTAGACATCTTCTCCTCTGCAACAAAACTAAAATCGGAGTGAGGAAAAAGTCAATCAAACAGTATCTACACCGCAACACAGCATTGTGAAGAGGTCTAATCAGCCAAAATAATTCTACTCACCTGTGTGGGTTAAATATGATAAGTCAAGGCCCTTTAAATACTCGTTACGGCTTCCGCTACCACCCGTCTGTAATTTACCTGTGCATGTGTGTCTATTATGCTGAGCAGGCTGTGCAAACCCACACTGTGGATTGGCTGTGTGGTCAAGAAAAGTTCCGCCTACCCGACCCAACTAGCTTACCTTCGATGACACATGTCTCAGAACTTGTTGTGTTCAGTTTGTGGTGTTTGTTGCTTAGTCTTAGTAGCCATTGTTGTACTTGGCTTTGTTAAAACTGTGTGAAGGTAATGAAGTGGGCCAGGGATTAAGATCTAAAAACTGACACCATTATTACACTCACAGTTTTGTTTCATTTCCACTAGGTTCTAGGCTGTGCGCTTTGTGTTTTGCAACGTATTTTAGTTAGAGGTTTTTGGTTTACCCTTTCATTTTACCTGTAGTTAGATTAGTAATCCCCCTTTTGAGGACCTCCTTTTGTTATAGGCCTATTCCTTTGTTGATTTCCACAACACCTGTTGGCCCATTTTCTGTTGTGAGCTCTGTGCAACCCTGTTTCAAATAAATATCCTTTCATATACCAAATAGGGCCTACATCTGGTTTATGTTTATGTCCTGATACCCCTAGACACCTCGGGACGTAACAACTTTTTTCCCCACCTTGCTCTTGTACTTTCACTGCAGTATTAGTCACAACCCTACAAGAAAACAAAAAAAGAGTTGGCTTTACACATTTTTTACTCAATATTTCCAGTTGTCTCTATTAGTGTTGTAGACAGTGGTTAGTCTGAAAAGAAACTGACCCAGAGCCAAGCGAGTGTCCCCACAGACAGACAACACCCCCTCTGCTTTGTTTCTTTACCCAGTTGTACAGGTAGAGGGCATCACTGGTCAATCCAGCTTCACTTGGCTCCCCAGTGGAGTCTCCAAAACCTCATTAGAAGACATACAAACATTTAAAAATGATCACTTCCTCACTGTTGTATGTGTAATAACAATAATAATTTTATTCTCTTCTTTTTTTCTTTCTATTCGTTTGACCAGTACCTAGCAAGGACAGACTTTTGCTAAAAGGTAACACAATACAGATATCACTATAAAGTACTGTTATTATATCAAATAAGGAAACATTTTATATGTTTGCATGAACAAATAAATATATTCATTTTGTTTTCCAGAAAGTCATTTACAGACAAAGAAATGTACAGTATGTTATCCTATAGAGTGAGAGGTCTAAATGAAACCGCACATGAACAAACTGTTTGGGATTTGGAGGGGATGATGCTGCATAAAAAGTAATGTCAGCACCAATCAGAGACCAAGATATTTTCTGTAGCAGACTTCTGAATCATGTCATCAGTTCATAATCATGTTTATGAGTAAACCTCATAAAATTAGCAATTATCTAGTTGATGAAACAAGTATGTATTTTGAGCTGTTAAAGAGTGCCAGGACCCCAAAAATGAACATTAGTTTTAAGATTAAATTGTATTGTTTCTTACCTCTGTAGTCTAGAGATAAGACATGATACCCTGCAGCACTTAAAATCTGAAAAAAAACATACAGAAATCAAAATTTCATCTAAAGCTGAAAGTCAAAACTTTTCAACAAAATTGAAAATGTTTTAGAAGAGAAACCATACCTTCATCAGTTCAACTCTGTGATTCAAGGCCCTGCATAAATGACATGAGAATATGAATGAATACAAACAAACAGTGGCTTTCAGACTGATTGACTCTGACTCACAAACCCTTGTGAACATTCATTGTGCCTGTGGATTAACCCAGTGGCCTTTGAAACCCACTAGACTCCATTAGGATCAATTGATGGTCTCTATCCTGCTGCTCTCTCCCCACCTGGTCCCTATGTTGCCATGAAGATAGATAATAACAGGACGGCCGTCTCCCAGAGTCTCCCGGTACCACTTAGGGCTTCTCCCCACGGCCTCCTCCCATTGGCTGGCAGGGAGTGTATGCCTATGAGACACAAAGATAGTGAGTGAGAGAGGAGAAAGACTGAGCTGCACAAACAACTACGCTTGTGTTTTAAGATATACAGTAAGCTTTTCAAGTGGTCTTGTGCAGATGAATGAGAAGATTGTGGTCCTATACACTCAGGAGACACCTGTACCGAATATGCATGGGCTTGTGGTATTTCCAAGTATTGATGCACTTAAATGGACAAAACAGGGACCCTCAAATTACCTACCAGACACCCACTGAGACACCCTCCTCTGTGTCGAGGTAGAAGTTGCATGTGTGGTTCAGCACATCTTCAGGTCGGCCAAGATCCACAAAGAGTGGAAACCTCACTGCAGCAGGGCACACAAGGTCAGTATGAATTTTGGATACCGCATAGTATTTTGTCATATAATGTCATATTGTATCACATCATATCGCATTTCAGTGCTTTATATTATCATATCGTAATGTATTAAATTGCATTGTGTAGTGTATCAGATTGTATCGAATCGTATTGTATCACATCTTTTCGTATCGTATCATAATCTATTGCATTAGTGTATAAGATTGTATCGTAAAGAATAGTATTGTATTGAATCGTTTAATATCATATCACATTGTATCACATCTTATAGTATCGTATTGTATTAGACATGTTATCCTATGCATCATACTGTTATGAGTTTAGTTTTGGGTTATGTTTGAGCTGTATTTTTCCCTGTGTGTTTCCGGTTTTTGCCATTGTTTCATGTGTCCTTGTGTTGTGTCTCTGTTTCTCTCGTTTAGTTTATGTTTAGTATTTACCTTTGGTCTATGTACTTCTGTGTTGTTTTGCCCTTGTCTGCTCTGTGTTCTCTTTAATCCCAGCTTCAGTCTGTATTCATTGTTGGTTGCAGTTCTTGGTGATCTGTTATGTGTTCAGTAACCTGTGTCATGTCTGTTCCCCCAGTTATCACTCTGAATGCCAGTCTCTCTGTTTTCCCCTGCTCTCTCTCTGCCTGCCTGTGTCTCGTTAGCCTCATGTCCCTCACCTGTGTACCTCCTCCCAGCTCGTTGACCCTGTGTGTGTTTGTGTGTGTGTATATCCTTGCTTGTTTCCCTCAGTCTTTTTCTGGTCATTGTAGTGTTGTAGCTCATTCTGTCTTGTCCTGTCCTGTCCTGTTACCTGTTGTATTTTGGATTATACCCGTTCTGGATGTTCTGTTGGATTTGTCGCAGCCACTCTGCCAATAAGTGTGCTTGGCTTTTGTTTGTTTAAATAAACCTTTTGAACTGTACCTCCTCTGCTATGCATCATGCATTTGGGTCCACCAACCTTCTCCACACCACAAACCATAACACATACTCATTGCATCTCATCGAATCTAATCAGGCTGTGCACTATCTTTTTTATGGATTTGTCACAACATGCCATTGTTGTTTTTTTTGTTACAATAATGCACTGCTTTTTGTCATTCTGCTGAAAACCAAGCAGAAATGGGTCAGGCAAATTCTAATGTTTAATCTAAAGTTCAATCGAATGTTGTATGAGCCATTTGGTTAATTATTCTTTGTGTTGCTCTAACAAACAGCTATTGTTTATGACATTTAAAATATAAATATATAAAGATATATACTGTATATGTATTTATATATACAGTAAATATACCAGTGAGCCCTGTAGAATCCACCGTTGTACTGGAAGTAGGTGGTGTTTAGACAGAGGTCGAGTAATTTGCAGATTTGGTCAGGGCTGAGGCTAGTTCTGTTGTCCAGGGTGTTGTCTTGTGTTAGCCGTTTCCTAACGGTTTCTACTGCCTCTATGGTGGGGATGCAGGTGAACAAAGAAGTCACGTCATAGGATACCATGGTTTCATCTGGATCCAGTTTTAGTCCTCGAACTTTGTTTACAAAGTCAATAGAGTTTTGGACGTGGTGAGGCGTGTTTCCCACCAATGGAGCTAAGATGGTGTAAATGTGTTTGGCAATGTTGTAGGTGACCGAGTTAGTGCTGCTGATAATCGGCCTGAGTGGGGCTCCTTCTTTGTGTATCTTGGGTAGTCCATAAATGCATGGAATGGCTTCTCCAGGATACAAACGGTAATATTGTTCACGGGTGATGGTGTTGTCCTTCTATGGCCTTTTTCTTGTATCCGCTGGTTGGGTCTTGTCTCAGTGTCTCATACGTGTTTGTGTCCATTAGTAGTGTGTTGACTTTGTTCTGGTAGTCAGCTGTGTTAAGTACTACCGTGCATCTTCCTTTGTCAGCAGGTAGGATAGTGATATTTTGATCCTTGCTCAGAGATGTCACAGCCTTCCTTTCTTGGATGGTGAGGTTGGAAGGGGGGGCCTTCGCATTCGAAAGGGCTGCAGATATCTTTAGTCTGAGCTGTTCCGCTTCTGTTTCTGTTAATTTGTTTTTCCTAATGGCCGATTCTGTGGCTGTGATGAGGTCTACTATCGGTAGTTGCTGTGGTGTAATGGCGAAGTTTAATCCTTTGGCCAGAACGTCTTTCTCTGGTTGGGTGAGTTCCCTATCTGACAAGTTTTTCACCCATCTGTTGTCTGTTTCAAGTGTTGTGGGGTTATTGTCCTTTCTCCTCCAAGACAATTCTCCTGTTCTGTTAGTGCAGCTTGCTCTGGACTGTAGGTTTTGGAATTTCCGGGTCTGTCTTTCTTTGCTCTTGTTGTGCTGAGATAGCTGTGCTTTCTTGATGAAGTCCATGACCTTTCTCAGTGATGTACTGGGCAGATATGTTTCAAGTTTGTGGTGTATGTTGTCCATTTCTTTGTTCAGGGCTTCAATAGTGAAGTGTATCTGTCTCACTCTCTCATTCAGTAGCTGGTGTTGTGCTTTCTCCAGGATTATTCCGGCTCTGTGTCCTTTTACCGTGGAGCCTAAGTGTAGGCTGTTGGGAATAAGTTTGTGTTGTCGGCATCTCAGGTTGAATCGTAGGTGATTCCTGTAGTCTGCAATTTTCCTGGCTGTGCTTTCATACTCCCGTACCAATCTGAGGGTGTTCATCCCAAAATGATTAGCAAGATGTCTATGAAGATTCTCAGTCATCCAGGTCATAGTTATCCAACGAAGGTTAAAATCAAGGGCAACTGGACTTGGTTGAAGATACTGGAAGACGTTTCGTCCCTCATCCAAAGGACTTCTTCAGTTCTGACTGACTGGCAGGGAAACTCAGCTATTTAACCTCAGTGGGGTTGTTATCCCGGGTCATCGATACCGCTGGTTCGTTAGTGTTCCTTGTTGCTGTGACGACAGTCGTTACAGTCGTTAAGACTACCTGTGGCCAAGACTGAATGACCATCGTTGGTATCTTCACCTGAGGTCAATAGGTTACGTTTGTTGAGTTTCCTGGGAAGTGATGAAAGGACAGCATTGTAAGTGGTGGCGTAGACCCCCTCCCCTGTTCAATGACGGCTTCTCGACCCTGGTGTAGATGGCTTCCTTGACACCTCTTTCAAACCATTCATCTTCTCTGTCTAAAATGTGCACCTGGTGGTCCTCAAACGAGTGTCCTCTGTCCTTCAGATGTAAGTAGACTGCAGAGTCTTGACCTGAGGAGTTGGCCCTTCTGTGTTGAGCCATGCGTTTGTGTAGTGGTTGTTTAGTCTCCCCAATATACAGGTCTGTGCATTCCTCACTGCATTGGACCGCATACACTAGATTGCTTTTCTTGTGTTTGGGTGTGCGGTCTTTGGGGTGGACCAGCATCTGTCTTAGTGTGTTCTTGGGTTTAAAAAACACAGGGATGTTATGTTTGTTGAAAATCCTCCTGAGTTTCTCTGATACTCCAGACACGTATGGAATCACAATGTTGTTGCGTTTGACCTTCTTTTCCTCCTCCCCTGTAGTTTTGTTCTTCTTGGATCTTGTGGCTGTCTTCACAAAGGTCCATTTAGGGTATCCACAGGCTGTAAGTGCCCCCTTCAGGTGGTTCTGTTCCTTCTCTCTGGCTTGGGCGCTTGTTGGTATGTTTTCTGCTCTGTGGTGCAGTGTTCTCATGACCCCTAGCTTGTGCTCCAGTGGGTGGTGTGAATCGAAGAGTAGGTATTGGTCTGTGTGTGTGGGTTTTCTGTAAACACCAATCTGCAGGCTCCTGTCCTCTTCAATGTGTACAGCGCAGTCCAGGAAGGCCAAACTGTTGTTGTGAACATCTTCTCGTGTGAACTTGATGTTACTGTCCACAGAGTTGATGTGTTCTGTGAAGGCTTGCACTTCCTGGCTTTTAATTTTGACCCAGGTGTCGTCCACATATCTGTACCAGTGGCTCGGTGCTATTCCTCTGAAGGAGTTGAGGGCTTTATTCTCCACTTCTTCCATGTAGATGTTTGCCACAATCGGGGATACCGGTGAGCCCATGGCACAGCCATGCTTCTGTCTGTAGAATCCACCGTTGTACTGGAAGTAGGTGGTGTTTAGACAGAGGTCGAGTAATTTGCAGATTTGGTCAGGGCTGAGGCTAGTTCTGTTGTCCAGAGTGTTGTCTTGTGTTAGCCGTTTCCTATTTTATTTCAGTGGAATCATATTGTAGTGCTATGACTGATTGATTATTGTTTTACAAATTTATTTCATTGTAATAAATTTTTCCAATTAAATCGTAATGTATAACTAACAAAATGTGTTATTACAGCTTTTTTTTTAACAGAGTAACATTGAACAATCATTTGTTTTACTTTGTTGTGATTTGGCATATATTTACCATGTTGTGATATAAACACAATCTTGATATCAGATAAATATTTTTATTATCATAATAATGATTTCATGTATGTAATCTTTGGTAAAAGAAGAAAAAATGTAAAAACCTTACTATTGTGTTTAACTGTATTATATTGTTGTAGGTCTTACAATTACTGTTGCATGTCGTTCAAAATCTGTGGAACAACGCAGTCATTGTCATCTGGATTTGTCACAACGTGCCATTGTTGTTTTTTTTGTTACAATAATGCACTGCTTTTTGTCATGCTGCTGAAAACCAAGCAGAAATGGGTCAGGCAAATTCTAATTTTTAATCTAAAGTTCAATCACATGTTGTATGAGCCATTTGGTTAATTATTCTTTGTGTTGCTCTAACAAACAGCTATTGTTTATGACATTTAAAATATAAATATATAAAGATATATACTGTATATGTATTTATATATACAGTAAATATAAAATGTACATTGAATAAAGATGCTAGACTGACTTACACAAGTGAGAAAATATGACGTGGCCCAATATCCAGGGGAAAATGTAGAGAACGACAGGGACTGAGACATACACAGTGATCAGAAATAACACAGCTCTCTTCATTGCTGCCTCAGGTGTAATTATTTCTCTTCTGCAGCCACAAAATCTGCCGCGCTGTCCAAACAGTGAGTTTCCTTTTCCTTATTTCAGTCTTGAAACTGTGGGACAATCCAGCTGAGCTCTCCTCCAGACAACGAGACTGTTTTGAAATAGACAAATAGGTCAAATAGGTTTTGAAAGAGCAAATAAGTCAAAGCTCAACTGAGACTATCGTGTCCTCTGCTGCTATTGGTTTATATTTTATCCAGTAATTCAAACATATATTAAAGGAGAAATTGTGTTAGCTACTTAGGCTACTTTAGTACAGCATGACGTATATTTCTTTCTGAAATGTAGTATAAAGGAGCATAAAATGGAAATACTCGAGTACACCAAGATCCATTGGGGGAAAGCAACTACTATGCACAAGTACATTGATATTTTATGTAACTAACTATAACTTTATACTTCTATTCCACCACAAACATTTGACAGCTTTACTTTTCAGATGCAGATATTACATAAAAACACATATAATAAGTTTATAAAATACAAAACATTGTTGAAGCTTAAACCAGTGACATTATGTTAGTTTTGAAGGGTTAACATACTTCACTTGTGATCTACAGTATTTTGTCCGAGTGTTGAAATAAAAAGGTATTCTGCCATGTGTGAAAATGCTTGTGTTTCCGTTTTTATTCACACACACCGAGCAAAATGAAGACTGCAGGAGGGAGAGCCAATCTACTGTCTCAGGTTTTGAAGAAATTTCCTGCAACAAAAACAGATGAAATATTACAAAGTTTCTGAGGGTTTTTGGTTTATGGGCAGGATTTACAAGAAAATCACATTTAAAACGTATTAAAAGACAAATTCATTGTTAGACAAGCAACACTTGTTGGTATAATTCATAAACTTTTTACCAGGATTGGCTGTTTTTGATTAAGTTTTTATACATGTTTTCTTGTTTTTGCACGTTAGCACAACAGTTATTGTAAAATTTATATCAGTTTTGACTAAACTTACCCAATAACATTTGACAGATTGGGATCTAAGTAGATGCTGCGGTGGGAGAATGCAAGATTTGCACTGTAGGAGATCATTTCAACCCGAACATTTGTGTTATATTTCTTCTTAGCCTGCAGTGATAACTGGTACAGCTAGAGACCATCAAAATCAAAGCAAAGTAATTCAGAAAGGAGGCAGCAACATCTGTTAGGAAATTATCTAAACACTGAAAGGAAGCACACATGAAGACCTACTGTACCTTTAGACCCATGTGATAAGGTATTATATTGTCATCCTCTGCATGCAGAATAAGAAGTGGACTGGTCAAGGCCTGTAAACTGCGTAGATATTGGGGTAAAATATATATTCACAATCAGAGATAGTTGTCTTTAGCGGAATAAAATGTATTTAGCACCATTTAGTCATTTGTTTGCATGCTGCTCTCTGCTTACTTATTTGAGTTTTTAAAAGCTGAAAAAATTAATAAATCAAGAAGTAGAAAAAGCTAAGCACTTTTTTAAAAGCGTACTTACTTTTTATCGTTAGCAAATACAATGTTGTTCATCTCCAATATGTTCCAAAGCAAGCTATCAAATCCTGGAAGGAACATGTACATCTGGAAAAACACAGTGTACAAATTGTGTAGCAATATTTAGCAATTTCCTGTGTACTGTAATAACATACAAATGCTTGCAGAACAGAAATGCTTATTTGGTTATTATCAGTTGACTTTGTGAATGTATGGATTTAGAGGATAAGATGACTAAATTACTAATTTCATATAAAAGATAGAAGCATATGGATACAGAAAGTGTTCAGTGAGCTGTGTGTGGTTTTTGTTGAGCGATTTCCACATGGTAAACAAAATCAATTTCACAATATTTTCATTTCAAGCCTTTTTACTGTTTTTAGTCTAACTGTGTGTCACAGTTGAGCTTGAATAGAGTAAAGTAAAATATGAGCTGTGGTTGCTCAGTGGTCCTGTCATATAAACATGATTTTTGGGTTCAAATCCATCAAATCTTTGACTTTTATTCCATCTCTCTTTCCCCAGTTTTTTCCTGTTCCCTCAGCCTCTGTACAGTCTCTTTAAAAATCCCCTGTAATCTTTGTATTTATTTATTTACTATTTGCTATAGCTGTAAATGTTCATGTCTTTGTATTTGCACATGACAGTCTTTTTAACAAGATATAATTTAGCCAGCTGCGTTGTTGTGGATTGACAAACACACTGAGGGGTTACAGACAGACAAAAATGCAACAACTGGCCTCACCTTAGTGAGCGGGTGGATGGCTACGACTTCTCCAATCCTTGTGTATGGAGCTTCAAGGATTAGAGCATCAACAACAGACCCTGATATTAAAAACAAACATGAAGATAAGACATATTATAAAATAAACAAAAAATATTGATGGATGGGGAATTAAGTTTAAATGTCATGGCTTGTTAAGGCAATATTTATGAAATTCATAGTGTAATCTAATGTGTTGTAGACTAATGTTCACATGAAATGCAGATTATAGTTCACAATTTTCAGTTTAAGTTTTCATCTCTTGCAATCAGTCTCCTACCCTTACAGGCCCTGCACATCCATGCAGTTGTTTTGAGTTATTCTGACTGATTAGATATCTGCTCAGGTGCAACAAAACTAAAATAGGAGTATGGAAAAGGTCAGTCAAACAGTATCTACACCGCAACACAGCATTGTGAAGAGGTCTAATCAGCCAAAATAATTCGCCTGTGTGGGTTAAATATGGCCAGTCAAGGCCCTTTAAATACTCGTTACGGCTGCCGCCACCACCCGTCTGTAATTTACCTGTGCATGCATGTCTATTATGCTGAGCAGGCCCTTTAAGTACTTTTTTAGTACACACCTTGCTCTTGTACTTTCACTGCAGTATTGGTCGCAACCCTACAAGAAAACAAAAAAAAGAGTTGGCTTTACACATTTTTTACTCAATGTTTCCAGTTGTCTCTATTAGTGTCGTAGACAGTGGTTAGAAGTCTGGAGAGAAACTGACCCAGAGCCAAGCGAGTGTCCCCACAGACAGACAACACCCCCTCTGCTTTGTTTCTTTACCCAGTTGTACAGGTAGAGGGCATCACTGGTCAATCCAGCTTCACTTGGCTCCCCAGTGGAGTCTCCAAAACCTCATTAGAAGACATACAAACATTTAAAAATGATCACTTCCTCACTGTTGTATGTGTAATAATAATAATAATTTTATTCTCTTTTTTTTCTTCTTTCTATTCGTTTGACCAGTACCTAGCAAGGACAGACTTTTGCTAAAAGGTAACACAATACAGATATCACTATAAAGTACTGTTATTATATCAAATAAGGAAACATTTTATATGTTTGCATGAACAAATAAATATATTCATTTTGTTTTCCAGAAAGTCATTTACAGACAAAGAAATGTACAGTATGTTATCCTATAGAGTGAGAGGTCTAAATGAAACCGCACATGAACAAACTGTTTGGGATTTGGAGGGGGTGATGCTGCATAAAAAGTAATGTCAGCACCAATCAGAGACCAAGATATTTTCTGTAGCAGACTTCTGAATCATGTCATCAGTTCATAATCATGTTTATGAGTAAACCTCATAAAATTAGCAATTATCTAGTTGATGAAACAAGTATGTATTTTGAGCTGTTAAAGAGTGCCAGGACCCCAAAAATGAACATTAGTTTTAAGATTAAATTGTATTGTTTCTTACCTCTGTAGTCTAGAGATAAGACATGATACCCTGCAGCACTTAAAATCTGAAAAAAAACATACAGAAATCAAAATTTCATCTAAAGCTGAAAGTCAAAACTTTTCAACAAAATTGAAAATGTTTTAGAAGAGAAACCATACCTTCATCAGTTCAACTCTGTGATTCAAGGCCCTGCATAAATGACATGAGAATATGAATGAATACAAACAAACAGTGGCTTTCAGACTGATTGACTCTGACTCACAAACCCTTGTGAACATTCATTGTGCCTGTGGATTAACCCAGAGGCCTTTGAAACCCACTAGACTCCATTAGGATCAATTCGATGGTCTCTATCCTGCTGCTCTCTCCCCACCTGGTCCCTATGTTGCCATGAAGATAGATAATAACAGGACGGCCGTCTCCCAGAGTCTCCCGGTACCACTTAGGGCTTCTCCCCACGGCCTCCTCCCATTGGCTGGCAGGGAGTGTATGCCTATGAGACACAAAGATAGAGAGTGAGAGAGGAGAAAGACTGAGCTGCACAAACAACTACGCTTGTGTTTTAAGATATACAGTAAGCTTTTCAAGTGGTCTTGTGCAGATGAATGAGAAGATTGTGGTCCTATACACTCAGGAGACACCTGTACCGAATATGCATGGGCTTGTGGTATTTTCAAGTACTGATGCACTTAAATGGACAAAACAGGGACCCTCAAATTACCTACCAGACACCCACTGAGACACCCTCCTCTGTGTCGAGGTAGAAGTTGCATGTGTGGTTCAGCACATCTTCAGGTCGGCCAAGATCCACAAAGAGTGGAAACCTCACTGCAGCAGGGCACACAAGGTCAGTATGAATTTTTGGATACCGCATAGTATTTTATCATATAATGTCATATTGTATCACATCATATCGCATTTTATTGCTTTATATTATCATATCGTAATGTATTGCATTGCAATGTATAGTGTATCAGATTGTTTCATAAAGAATAGTATTGTATTGAATCGTTTCATATCATCTCACATTGTATCACATGTTATCCTATGCATCATACTCTCATACATCATATCTAATCAGGCTGTGCAATATCTTTTTTATAATCTTTATTTCTATGACTGATTATTGTTTTACAAAATTATTTCGTCATAATCAATTATCCCAATTAAATCGTAATGTATAACTAACAAAAATGTATTATTACAGCTTTTTTTTTTAACAGAGGAACATTGAACAATCATTTGTTTTACTTTGTGATTTGGCATATACTTACTATTACTATTACTTACTATTATACTACCATGTCGTGATATAAACACAATAGTGATATCAGATAAATATTTTTATTTATATCATAATATTGAAGAAATTTTTTGTGATTAGACTAGACAGTGAAAATCTGAAGTCGGTCAGACTAATTCTCTAAGAAGTTTGTTAAAGTATGGAGTGTGTAAATCATCCAAAAATTACCATAATATTCAAAATGGCTGACTTAGGGCATTGCTCCAAGAGGCTTTTTGGTACATTTGGACATGATACATGTGCCACAGAAATTTCATACATGTAGGTGAAACATGCTGCGGGGGCTGCTTCGTTAAAGGTCATTTCCTGTTGCCAGCAGGTGGCGCTATGACTTTGAGTGAATGTTGGCATATTGATGTGCTCAGGGTGAGACTGTTTTCATACATGTCAAATTTGGTAAAGATGTGAGCATGTACACTGAAGTCACAACAACTTCTTGTTTTGTGGCAAATCATCGATTTTGGACGCCACGGGCACGCTGTTCCACGAAAAAGCCGTTTGTACAAATTTTAATTGTCAATGGGTTTAGACTGCACAGAAAAAAAATCTGAAGTCTGTCAGATTAATTGTGTAGGAGTTCGTTAAATTATGCACCCTGTAAATGGTATAGAATTGCACTTTCCGTTCAAAATGGCGGACTTCCTGTTGCATTAAGGGTATGGGTCCTTGAGGCGTTTTTGTGTGTCTTGATATGATACATCTCCCCACCAAATGTCGTACATGTATGTTGAACGTGGCTAATTTATTTTAAATTTTGTAGGTGGCGCTAGCGAGCCATTTTGCCACACCCATGTGCAGGACCCATAAAATACAAAAACTTTTGCCACTTCTGACATGTGTGCAAAGTTTGGTGAGCATGTTTAGGCCGCCAAAAATGAGGTTACCATGCCGAAAAAAGAAAAAATATAATTACAATGTCCTTGGGGGGCCTCGCATGTTTCATGCTCGGGTCCTTATAAACATGCTGGATTGAAAACACAAATTACTTACACAAGTGAGAAAATATGGCATGGCCCAGTGTCCAGGGAAAGAGGTAGAGAACGAGAGGGACTGAGACATACACAGTGATCAGAAATAACACAGCTCTCTTCATTGCTGCCTCAGGTGTAATTATTTCTCTTCTGCAAAATCTGCCCCGCTGTCCAAACAGTGAGTTTCCTTTTCCTTGTTTCAATCTTGAAACTGTGAAGCAATCCGGCTGAGCTCTCCTCCTGACGAGACTGTTTTGAAATAAAGAGCAAAGAGGTCAATGTTCAACTGAAACTATTGTGTCCTCTGCTGCTATTGGTTTATATTTTATCAAGTAATTCAAACATGTAGTAAAGGAGAAATTCCAAGGAAGCAGAAGCCTTTTTTCTTAAAGCAGCATGACAACACAGGATACAGATACGTTACAACAAAGCAACTGCAAATGTATAAATGGATGTGGGATCATCCGTGTGTGATGTGCAACAAGTCACAAACAAATAAATATAGTAAAATACATGAGAACAAACATTTGGCGATTCAAAAGCCCCTCTGACCTAAATAATGCTACTCCAAACAACAAGACAGAACACACCCAGCTGTCTGTTCACTGGGGCCATTGCAAGGTATTGTGGGTAGTGCAGTTCTTTGACATTACCTTTTTTAATGTTTATTTTTTAATATATCTTTATATTTCTTACCCACCTGTGAACTTTGAAGTCGGTTGACAAACAGTGGCCACATTACCAACCAGACCAAGTATATTCAAAGGTTTACTCATGTAAAAGCACAGCGTTATCAGAAAAATGTACTTTCAGTATCCAAAGTAAACTTACTCATAATCCAGAATGGTCCTTAATGGTGTTATATTATTGGATTATAATTGAAACATGAATTTATAAGCAAAATGTGAATGTTGCAGATGGTGGCATTAATTTTAAGTACTTAATATACTTTGGGGTAATTTAATGTATAACAATGCATATTTGTTGATTGTGTGTAAAATATTCACCTGAAAGTAGCTGTCAAATAAATTTAGTAGAGCATAAAGTATAATATTTCCTTCTAAAATGTTTTCAGATCAAGATATTACATAAAAAACACATATGTTAAGTTTATAAAATACAAAACATTGTTAAAGCTTAAACCAGTGGTTCCAAACTTTTCATTTCAGATCTATGACATTATGTTAGTTGTTGAAGGGTTATTGATATTTTTCCTATAAAACTCCAACATGGTTGTATTTCATTAACTATTTTAAGGTTAAAAAACGCAAAATTATTAAACATTTCCCCGAAAAAGTTTAATACAACTGTGTGTAGGTCTATCAGAACTTCCATTCCCCACCTGTCCCATCAATTATCTCAAGACCTCTTAGGTTTATCTGGTGGCCCTTTAGAGGGGCCCGATCCCCAGATCCAGCCAACCACTGGACTAAACTACTAAACTGTATATAAAGTAGTAAGCTAGCTCCCCCTCAACTAGCTACAACAGTAAAATGCTGCTTACACACTGATGTATCCGTATTAACAGTCTAATATAAAAATGCGCCAGGTCTGTAGAACCAGTACATTTATTTTGATACTTTAAGTACATTTTGTCTTGGGCATGACTGGTTAAATTATCTAACAATACCGGTAATAACAGGAACCTCTCTTTATGTTTTAAAGAAGGGAATTATTATATGAACTGTGGCCAGTCAGGCCCTCGCAGGCTCTCGGTCACCGCCCCTTCCTCTATCGGGCGCTTTTCAAAATCCGCTACAGCCCAGAGGAGGATGATACACAGCCGAGGACACAAAGCAGCCGCCAGACTAAGCAACAAACTCTCCGATGCTGCTTGCAAGTACAAAAAGCCCCCAGCAAACCGAATGCATCGTCAAGCTAACAGTTAGCTAACAGCTTCTCTGTCTTTTTGGAAAGGATTGCATTACCTGCAAAGGGAACCGCGACAACGACTACGGGAGGAATGTTGTAAAAGTTGATTTATACCCACGTTTAGTTAACTTAAACACCATATTTCAGGTGGAAGAGGAGCCAGCTATCGTCCAAGTTCAGAGACTTTGGTAAGTGTGTTAAGCTAGCGGTATTGAGTCCTTCTTCTTCTTCTGTGTATTTTTAGGATGAAATCTTGACCAACCGTTTCCTCCCAACATGCCTGCTGGTAAATTAGCTCGGTTAGCATAGCCCGGCATAGTCCCATGAGCATCCTCTTATAACTAGCTAAACTACTAACAGCTGGTAAACGTTTTTATCAAGCCCTTAACCGACTTTAAGGTTTACTCAAGTGCAGTCGATACTTCAGTAGAGCAAATTACATTCAGGCATTACCAAAGCAACTGGTGACAGTGTTTCCAATGAGTGATGCTACAAGGAGATTAATTCAACAATTATATCAACTAGGAATATGAGACATTTTTAACATGGCCTTTTTAACCTTGGGAGTCTTTCTTGTGATTTTTGAATCCTTAAACGTTTGTGGTTTAGTTTTTATGAATTAAATGTGAGCTTGTTTTATAGTCTGAATTTATTGGTTTTCACATCCCAAAGAAAACACTGATGGATATGACTCTGGAGCAATTTGAAAATTATCTCACTACAGTTGATATTGTTATGAGTATTTGACTTGTGGTGCCCAGTTTTAATCTAATTTAACTATGAAAAGGTTTGAAAGTGAGTAAGTGCAAATTATATCAAGCTAAACATACATAATTGATCTAGATCTCATCAGTTACTTTGTGCAATGCTGTTGTGTCTGTGCAAAGTAACACAAAAGATAATAGAAATGCAATGTCGTTAAGAATATGTTGCATGATGATGAAAATAATAATAGATAACGGGGTCAAGGATACACATTTTGAACAAACAAGTCATACAAATTGGGGAAATAAAGCAATCACAGACCCATGGAAAATAATGCTATGGAGCAGTTTTGGTTTCACTCTTACAGGAGTGGATGATTGCAACATGAATTCTCTGAAAATAATAACCATGAGATATGTGGAGACATGCCCAACTAAATGTTTGATAATACTTAAATATTCATTGTAAAAACGTTTCCTGATCACATTTTGTAAGTTCTCCTTTTTATAGTTTCAAGACAAAAATGACTGGATAATTGCTGTAGCTAATTAGCAATATTTCTTCATGCTGTGATTCTATTAAAATACACTGGGGGATAATATTAAAACCATTCTCAGTCTTGTACACCTACATAGAGACAACAGCTTGCTTATAAAAATGCATAAACTTTCCTTTGTTCCATAATCATCTCCTATTCCAAAATGGGCCAACAGAAACGTAGTACACCCATCAGTGTTTCACAAGGCTGAAGCAAAAAAGTTTTTCAGATTGACATCTGTTGGTGATAATTACCAATCAGACCAGTACAAGTGAATGGTGGGATGTGTGAGGATTAACCTCCTCCAACCTCCTTGTGACCTAGTCTAGAGTGATTCTTTGGCTGCAGCAGCTGTCAAACCACAGCCACCGTGAGCCGCTGAGCTGAGCAGGAGGGCTACCAGGATAATTGTCTCAGACGCTGTTTGGAGAACGCAAACTGAAAGCCAACACAAGCAAAGTGTTACGGAGTGAACCTTGCTTAGTAAAAACTTTAAATAAGGTCAGGCTAGTACTGTTATGAGTGGAAACATCATCAGTCCTCCTACATTTATTTTGATGATCTTGTTTCATTCTAAATTTTTATTTTTGTGTTATTTTTTAATTTATAAAAAGCTATAGCTTTAGACAAGCTGCCATGATTTTCTTGCATGTTATATGCCGCTAAAATGTGCAGATGCAGAATACAGATTTTGTTTTTGTTTTTGTTTTGTTTTTTTGTTTCTATTGTTTGCGGTGAATAAGGTACCCTCAGTCTGGGGTGTGGGGGACACCTGGCTGTGCACTTGATGATTTCAAGAGCAGCTGGAAACGCAGGGGTCTGCAGGGTGCTCTTTGCAGTTGAAGTTTCAGCTCATTACATATAATATTATAGATAGAATATATCTAATACTTATGACGGAGAAAAAGTAAGTAAGATTGGGGGGGGCACCTTATTTATCCATTGTACAGTAGATGATGTAATTAATTTAACTGCAAAAAAAACCATGAAAAAGTCCATAGTACAAGTACACAAACACATTCAAGGAGGGCCGTTAAATGTGCAGAAATAGTAATGTTAGTTGAAATCAAGGAAGGCAACAAAAAACAGAAAATGAATGACTTGTGCCTGTCCCAACACTTGTGTAGTGTGTGGAAATGTGTCTCAACGGTCAGACATAAAATGTGTGGAAAGTATTTGTAAGTAAAAATAGAAGCAAATGAATGCTTTACTCTGCTCAGCTCTCCGTTGCTATTTCTAGTCATGTTAACTGACATTTACCTACCTTAAGCTTCAGGTGGCTGACCTGCACTGTTGCGTCTATGAGTTATGTCATTGCTTAAGTTAGTCAGACTTTTTTTTTTTTTTTGACCCATGATGACCTCTCGCTTTCATCTTTCTTTATGCAGAATAGCCTCCTAATTACCAATGTTTCATGGTTCATGTTTATATTATTGCTTGAGAAAAATGTGGCTTATTGTGCATTTTGGTATTGTGCTGAGCAGGACTCTAGTTTTCTTTTTGGGGCCTTGCTTTCAAATGGTTCTCATTGTTTTTCAATTACAGCAATGATGCAACCGAAATGTAAAATATAACAACTTCGTCCATGTCTTTGTAACTGATGCTGCCAGCCAGTGAATGCTTTGGTGTAACCTTCTCAATTAGTTCCTGGCTGCTTGTTCCACTTGGTTCAGTGCCAATTTGCTGTCTTTGTCCTTGGTCTTTATCACCAGTCCACATTTTGTCTATAAACTTCAAACCTGCTGCTTTTGTGATTAGATACCCTTACATTATAATATTATATGTTTTGAGACATCCTAGCTAAAAGCATTAAGAGTCATGGTCAGTGCCAGACTTGGCCACATGTATTAATTTATCTGATTGTCTAATCATTCTAACTGGATTAGTCAAAGCCTCTACACAAATGACACTGGTGCAGTGTGTCGGTAGCTCATTCGTTCAGCGACACGCTCAGATGAATTTGCTATTAGGAACGGACGCTGTTGAGGTAGATGTTACTACCCTGTTTGTGAGTATTTTCTAACAGTGAATTGATATATTATGCTTTAAATTTAGAGTGGAGAGACTTTGAACTCTTGTTTTAATTTAGTGTTTTTTGTTTGTTTTGTTTTTTTTAATGGAAGATGAATTTGTTCTGGCATGCTAATCTGGATAAACACGTCAGCCATAGTGTGATTAAAGTAAGGATTTTCTTTCAGGGCAGGGTGCTGTCCTGTGGGATGGATGACACCCAAGAGCAGGACCACTACGAGGAGCGTCTAAAAGAAGTTTTTAACAGTTTTGACGCAAGCGGCTACGGCTCACTGTGCCCAGAGGAACTCTCTGACCTCTGCCAGTCCCTGCACCTGGATGATGCCACACCAGCTCTTCTCGATACCCTGCTGCAGAACCAGGACCGCCTCACTGCCAGGGTAAGTTTATTCCTCTGGCACTAGTGAATGTGTGTTATGCCATGCAACTGCTCAGAAAAGTTGTATTTGCAGAATAATTGTTCCTTCTCTGATGTACATGTGAGTCATGGCCTTTTGGCTTTGCTGTGCCCAGGGTCCTCTGCTTCCTTTGAATTTGCCAGACGCCTGTGTTGAGCCACTCCAGCTTTCAGGTCTTTGTGTCTCCAGACTTCTCGGTGCTTTGTTAGCTGTCTTGTTGAAAATATGCCCCCATCAGCCCTGATACCAGGTGTCTGTAGTCAGGACAACCAAGCCGGCTAATCACCATTCACCGATGCATTTCTTTGAGGGTGCTCCATGTGGAAATGTAAGAAACAGAAAGGACACTGGTCCAATCTTTACAAATGGACTTCAGTTTGTAGAAAGTGCATTGTTCATTCAGGATCTCCAGAACGCATTTTTTCAGCCTAAAGTAGGAGGCTGAAATATATTCTAAATGGCTTACCGCCACGCTTTTGCATTAAGTTGTGTTTGTATATAAGTGTGTAGACAGAAGGATGGCTATTGTCTTGCATGTGGGTGGGTCGGGTAAATGTTAGCGGAGGGCCATTGAACTGATTGCCTACCCATAGCGTACAACAATAAAGTCACAAATGGAAGGAAAAAAGCTGCCAGTCGCCAGCCTCGACGCACAAAGAAAATCAGCATATTCAGGGTTAGCAGCTGTTGATTCTTGAAGTGTGACCTCCATGATCCTACTCCGCAAACCCTCCTCCACCCAGGCACCCAGGAACACCCAGCCTCCACCCGGCACATAGGGAATTGCATCCAATCTAAGGAATTTCATGAACTTTTGTTTTTACTTTGCTTCACATACTTGGCATTGCTTGCGTTTCTTACTTTTATGTAACACTGAACTTCAGTTTAGAATCTTTTTTTTAAAATGTTTTTTTATTCTTGTTTCAGGTTGACTTTGACCAATTCAAGAATGCACTGATTCTGGTATTGTCATCGACTATTGAGCCGCCCCAATCGGAACAAGAGACCGTGTCAAAACCAGGTGAAGTCTAGATTCTGTTGTTTCATGAATGTGTCAGCCTGAAAACATGAAGCCTATTCATTAACCTAATCTGTAATTTATGTCTGTGTCAGTTTAATATTGAACTTTTTAAAGAGACCATTCCATTCAACAAGTCAACCAAGCAGAGAAGGTGACTTGTTAAGGCTGAATAAGTGGAACAGCCTCATGCTGTAAATCTACATACAGAAACACAGAGCCGTAAGCACAGGGCCCAAAGCCAATTAGCCGACAGTTGAACTTTTTGCACCATCATGGTTTGGCTTGGTTTGTTATTTTTTGGATGCAGTAAACACAGAGTGGGTTCTATACTAAGCTATTTCTTGGAAACATTTGTTACATCTCTTCATCCATTATGCTTTTTTTTATTTGTGAATGAAGATTTCAGACCAATGGTTAATATCAACATCAGTTGGGTGACCCCACACACTGTATGGTAACACGTGTATTATCAGACTTAACATTATTATATCATGCTATTATATTGTGAAACTAACATTAGGCGATAATATGAAGTGTGATCCTTGTTAAAGTAAACACTTCATTGTAAATATTTGCCTTACTGTCAATGAAGCTGTCTGTTAAACCCTAACCCTTTTGTGTCATGTCTGTTACATTCAAACAAAGGGGAAGACTGCTTTGGTTACCAATTTTAGAGAACTTGTTCGTTTTGGAGAAGTAGCTGCTGAAAGCTGCGGCAAATATTAGTCATATTTTCTTGCTGTATTTGATCATGTCCTCAAAACTTACTGTGACGACTCATTTTTGAGTGCAGTGCAAATAAGTGTGATTTTAATTGATTTTACAGTTTCTTTTCATCTCCTGTCTTCTGTCCTGTCTTCTCCTCAGATTCTCCTGAAATCCAACCAAAGTTTGTGAAGGGCAGTAAACGCTATGGCCGCCGCTCCACACCAGATTTCCTAGAGCCTATTTCAGACTTGTCTGAAGTTAGAAATGCAAACACGGTAGAGGAGGAGGATCTGGAGGACAACTATGACTCGGCTGTGCCCAGGAAGCGTGAGGTAAAAAGCTAAGACTGATGTTCACTGACTTTTTTTCCAGCACTATTCTGAACCTCTAGACACTCAGATCCTTATCGCCTCCTGTCCTTGCATGTACTGTGCTTCTCGGCAGCCGCAGACCGGCAGTGAGGTGTTATTCTTAGCTAATCAGCTTAGTGGCATGCTGGCCAGATCCTGAAATGTAACATAGAAACTCAAACACAGGATTCACAAGGCCCTGCTCATTACATAACAACGCAGCACTGTCTTTAAATAACACTCTGGGCATAATTACTGTTTAAAAAGGCTCAGGTGATCAAGATGTAACCGCAGTGTTTGTTTGGCGATACCCAGGGTTGTCCGTTTAATGTTTCATGATGCGATTGTGTGAGAGTTGAACTTTGTCCTGAGTGTATGTGCTGGCTGTGATGTGGTGGTCAAGGTGACAGAGATTTAGGAATTTACTTGATCATGTTCAAAGAGATGAGAGTTTTCAGGAGACAAAAAGAGACAGGTGATAATTGTATTGTTTATGGTTGTCAGTATTTCCCACAGTTGCTGTGAAGTCCTTTTTTTTTATTTTTTTTTATTTAATGTGTGTGTCTTTATTTAAGATTGACAGTAGGTACCTCCCATTGTCTGCATGGGACAGTAGGACCAGTGGCTTGAATGTGACATGCTTCTGTGTCACACAGTTGCATAGCATTAGTTCAGCCATTGCCATGCACAGCTGAACACTCTGCATGGTTCCTCTTGTTGATCTTCTATATCCTTTTCTTGGATAATCCTGCTCTCACTGCTGACATAGAGGGTTGTTAGACATATGTACGGAGGGCTAAGCTCACATTTTGCGCGTCCTTGACCTGCAACGGAAATCAGGAAATTTATAGTAACACCAGCAAGACGTCTTATTTTGTCCTGAAAATCTGTTTGACTGTTAACATTTAATTAACAGAAATATACTCGACTGTTTTGATATTCGATAGTCATTTTTCATTACAACATTCCAGTCATTAATCCAACTTCTCAAATGTGAGGATTTGCAGATTTTTGTGTATCTTTTGGAATTTGGACTGTTTGGTTGCACAAAACATTTGCCTGTGAACGACGGGTAAACTTTTCATACTAACGGTGGGTTGAATGTGCAGAGCATGGATGTGCTGCAGCAGAATAAATAATAATAATAAGACAAGTCCCCAGCTGGTCACCAAAACGGTATAATGATAGGCAATTCAGCTTGTGCACGGATGGATGTGTTAATAATCTTTGCATTGTCTGTGTTCCTGACTCTACCCCAGATGCCTGCCAGCGCCATGACAAACACTATTCTAGACATTGAACTGAAGCGTGTCTTGGTGTTGACTAATCTAAAGTTGCAACAATGCTACAATGTCCGGCCTGCGGACCAGCAGATGGGGATGGGTCAGGGGGCTCTGCTGCAGAGACCGCATGCCCAGTGCTTTGGGAGGAGGGTGTAGGATGGTGACAGGGGAACAATGAACCCCGCTACCCCCACTCGCCTGGATGCCTATACACCATGTATCAAAAAGCCACTTGCAGAATCCCATCTGTTCTTCATTCCCTCACTGTTTGCCTCCCAAACAATAGACGGTCACGCTGGGATTGGGTCGATGCTCAGTGGGTCACACCCAAATAAAGCTCTCCTTCTTTCATATTTCTTAAATCTCTAATTTGAATATAAGAGTAAGAAAAACAAAGTGGGATTTTTATACTGCAAAATGTCCTGAATTTTGGTTTTAAAAAACATTTTGGTTTTTAATTTTTTCATTTTCAGCTTCTCATTCATGCAGTTGTAACTCTAGTTTTTGGCATGAGGAATATACTATTAACATGTTTGAAAAGATAAAAGAAAATAGAGAACACCGTGTTTGTCTGTGATACATTTGCTCTATTATTACCACCATTCACAAAAGCTCTCTTGTGCTTTTTGTCTAACACTCCACCCCCCCATTTTCACTCGGACTCAACCTTGCCTAATTTAAAAACATGTTTGAACTCACGAACGACTAATTGTCACATGAGAAAATCAGCCTGAGAAGATATTTTAATGTGGTAAATTTTCAATTTCTTAAATGTGTCTATTTTGATTCCTTACATAAAACATCATAATGGGTTATTAAATTTCTATCTCTTTGTGATAGTCTCTGTGTTTTTGTCTCTAACAGCGCTGGAATGGTCACGAAACAAGCACAGAGGAGTATGAGGCAGAAGGTACGTAAAAATTGCAGATTTTTCAGAAAAGTCCCTTTTTATAGATGTTTGTCACTAAATGATCAGTGTCTTACTTTGCTTGTAGGCCAGATGCATCTCTGGAACCCGGATGAGCCGAGCACACCCCGGGGATCCATCATTCCTCTATCGACCTGTTCAGAGGAGAGACTGCGTGAAGCCTGCGACGACCTGGCGTTACCATGGAATGGATGTGCCGATCACACTAAACTGCTCACTCTTTGTGAACACTTGGGCCTTGAGGTAAAATTAAGTCAACGAAAAGACGGTTTATTTTAGGGCAGCTCTTTAAATCTCATTATCAGTATTGGAGTTAAAGGTTTTGAAATCACACTGCATTTCAATACACACTGCCTAGTGGCATGCTATATAAAATACATCTTTGTAACAAAAGGCTTCTGGCTCTAAATTCATCTGGTTATAATTTATTGATGTTGAAAAGCCTTTTTTTTTTTTTTTTCTTGTTCTTCCTCTGATTACCAATCAAATTAGACAGATTGACTAAAACAAAATGTTTTTGTGCCTCTCAGGGACTGTTTACTACTCCCTTTTTTAAAAATTCTGCTGTGTACATTATTACAAAGGAAAACTACATATACACTATCCTATGCACACAAATACTACTTTTTTTTATTTATCTCAGTTCATTTGTTGACTGATCAATTAATAGAAATTAATATGATGTCTTCAGATGTTTTGTTTCGTCCGAACAATTGCCCAAAACCCCCGAAAGGACAGCAAGACAAGGAAAAACTAATTTGCCCATTTCTGAAGCTAGAACCAGTACATTTTTTTTTTTTTATCATTTTAGCTAGTAAAATTATTAATAGATTATCTACCTAGTTAATGGTTCATCAAAGCAGCCATACATACATTTAAAACTATTTGCCTTGAGTGCGTTACTGGATGTAAAATGAAATTTAATTTGCGGGCTTAATAACCTTGAAATCTCAGAGGGAATCGAATGATAAATATCACTCACACACATATAAACAGAGTAAAGAAAATACCTGCTCTATTGCAAATGTTGCTAGTTCAACAAAAGCAACTTTATATTTCAGATAAATGTGGATATGCTCCAGAGTCTAACCGGCGATGGAGAGATGAATGTTCAGGAGTTTGTTTCCAGGGTTGTAAACCACAACAAACCGCCCACACCGTCAGCCTCCACGCCCTACAGACAGCTTAAACGACACCACTCCACTCAGGTACGCCATTTGTTTGTTGAGCTTTACAACGTCAGAAGATGTTGGATGATTCCCTTGTTGTTTATTTCATTTTTTTTTTTCTGTTCTTTTAAAGAGTTTTTTTAAATAGTCAAATCTTTCATTTGAAAAAGTTGAAAAACATATTGTTGGTTGCCAAAAACCTTTTTTCTTTCTATTTCCTCTGTAATAGAGTAATTGGAGGCTTGGTTTCAGGTTGCATTTTATCTCCCAAAGTGTATTAAGAGGAAATTTGGAAATTAACTTTCCGTTTTCACAAGAACGCACACGATTTTTTCCCCCCCATGCAGCCCTTTGATGAGGGAGGCCGCAGGATAGCCACTCCTTCTGCCCTGACCAGCAGCATTGGCATGCGTCTCTTCTCCACCCTTGATGATGGTACCGGTTTCACTCCAGTCGAATACATCCTGGATGCCTGGATGGAAGAGGGAATAGAAAACAGCATTGAGATCCTGCAGGTACTACAGAGTAGTCATTGTAATTATGACTGTGGCCATTATTCAAGTATTTACTGTTTCTGCAGTTTAGGAGAAAGTGGTTTGCAAAACTTACACAGACGCATTTATTTTCATTTTCTGCAAATAATGCAAATAAGTAAAGAATTATATTAGCAAAAAATATAGAATCTGTAATCTTTTTGTTTGTTTTTTTCTTGCAGGCTTTGAATTTCAGCCTAGATGGAAAACTGAGTCTTAGTGACCTCACCATGGCACTTGAAAATGAGCTACTCGTTACTAAGAATGGGATTCACCAAGCGGCACTGGCGAGCTTTAGAGCTGAGATCAGATATCTCCTGTGAGTATGAGTCATCACTGTAATGTAGCTCAATCATATCTTAATACTCTTAATTTTGAACCCGTTAGTGTGAAATGAAATGAGAGAAAAACTTTGCAGGCCTGTTTGTTTCTGTTGTCATCTGTCATCAGTAATTATTTGTACAATTATTGGCCCTGTTGATTTTCTCTTGTCAGAGAGCGTGTAGACCGAGAACTCAGGGAAAAAGAGAAAATCCGATCTGACCTTGAAAAAGCAGAAAAACTCAAAACTCAGCTTGCCGCTGAGGTGGATGAGCGTCACTCTGCGATAGAGCACACAAATAACCTCAATCTCAGGTAATTCACCCATCAGATTACACCAGTTGTTCCTTTTGCTGTTCACTCTCTAATTTTATCACAGCAAGAGGCCTCCGTCCACTAATTAATTGATTGTTTACTTAATTGTGTCTCCTTCCCCACATCTTGGCATCATTCTTAAAGTGGATTTTCTGGATTAAAATACTAAGGGATTATATCGGTCAACCTTTTATCTAGTCCATTCATAAAGACTGCAGCTGGTCATTATTAGTTTTATATTCTTTCATAAAATGTGAGTGATCTATTGCCGCTGAATCCAGACTAGTCTTTACATTTTGTACAGGCAGTATTTAAGTGTCCTTTGTCCTGATAATTGACTTTCAGTATGTAGGCGTTACATTCTGTTTTCTCTCTGCCCAAATGTCTACAGGAAGCTTGAAGAGGACCACAAAGAGAAGCTAGCAGCGTTACGATCAGAGCTGATGAAAGAGATGGACCAGATACAGCAGCAGGCCGGCCTGCAGCGTGAGGAACTGGAAGCAGAGGTCGGGAGGATCAGGGAGGATGAGTCTCTTCTCAGAGACCACCTCTCCATCTCTGTGAAGGTACTAAAAATATTTAAAGTGATGCATGTAGTTTATGTATCTTTACTTTAATATGTTTTTGTATTGGTCATTGATCTATGTTATTGCTGTCATACTTTTTTAGGAAAACCGACGTCTTGAAATGGAGTTGCTGGACAATGCTGAAAAACTTGTGGAGGCACAAAGTCAAATTACAAAACTTCAGACAAGTTTGGACAACATTATGAAAGAAAAGGTACAGAGACATTATATTGCTATCCATAAGGGTGTTTTGGCATTTCAGTACTTTCTGACTTTTTCCATTGTTGGGGTTATCGGAACCGGCACATACTTGCACTCATTAATTTTCTTGTGGTGTTTTTCTGCTCTCTTTCTGTTTTATGATTTAATTTTCTGTGTCCTCTCTTCTGCTGAGCCCTTTTTGTGTGTCTTTGTTTTAATTTTATGCTGCAAACAAACTGCTAACTTAAATGTAAATGATTTTATCTTGTTTTCTTTTAGTTTGGAGACCTGGACCCTGGCAGCGCAGAATTCTTCCTCCAAGAGGAACGTATTAAACAACTACGCAGCAGCTACGAAGCCCAGTACAGGGTAATTGCATCTAAATCACAAACAAATTCCACCTTGTTCTGGATTTTTCATTTACATGTCTGTACATGCAGAGAAATGTAAGAAGTGGTGGCAGTGATACTGAGTTTACAGAGTCAATGTGTCAAACTTAAGGTGAAAAAAGATGCAGTGCTGAATGTTGTGAAAGGACAAATTCTTTTTATTCGCTACACACACATGTTTAACTTGTAGTTCTCTCATTTGGTAGGAACTGCAGGATCGTATTGACGAGCTGCAGTCAGAGTTGCAGGAGTTCCACAATCTGGGACGTGTTCATCAGCCCTGCCACAAACCCCTTTCTGAAGAGCTGGAGAGTAAAAGCCCCGGCATGGAGTCTGATCCAGGTAGGCCTAATAATAAATACATACACACATACAGCCACTGCAGAACTCATTACAGAGCACTAACTACATCTCTACTTTTACATGGAAACGAGGAAACCCTCTGAGATTTCACCAGCTTCACAGAGTTCTAACTTGACTTACTGCAGGTATTGGTTCAGAGGAGGTACAGCCGTTCAGCATGAGCCTTGAGGCAGAGATGATGTTGGAGCAGCTGAAGGATCAGCACCTTCAGGAAATGGAAGATTTGCGAATCCAGCTGGAATGCAAGGTGAGTCTAGTAGATGGACTTTTGACATTTCATGTAGTTTACCTGTTAGATTTACACTTGTGTTTTTCATAATACAAACTTCAGCTGGGAAGAGCAGGAAGACGCATCAATTTAATATCAGTACTGTGAACAGAGACAAGCTACTGTTTGGCATTTTGGTTATTGATATGTACTTTAATTGGTCTTGTTGGCTGCATCGCAGTTCTGACCTTCAAACCTGTCTAACTCCTGTCAATGTATATTGTTTGATATTTTGGAAAATACACTTATTTTCATTATCCAGAGTTAGATGTGAAGATCGATACCACTCTGTGTCTGTGTGGTAAATCTGAAGCTATAGCCAACAAATAAGTAGCTTAGAAATAATTAGAGACTGGAAGAAGACTGGAAACATGGGGGGGAAACCGCTAGCTAGGAAACTACTGTTTGGCAGCTTTTGTTACCTTTAAACAGAGACCCCCCCCCCCCTTCCACACTTTACCCTAAGCTAACTGGCTGCAGCTTCACATTTAGCCTATTCAATTTTATTTATATAGTGCCAATCACAACAACAGTTATCTCACAGCACTTTTCATAAAAGAGCAGGTCTAGACCGTACTCTATGATGTTATTTACAGAAGCCCAACAATTCCCACCAAGAGCAAGCACTAGGCAACAGAGGCAAGGAAAAACTTCCTTTTAAGAGGCAGAAACCTCGAGCTGAACCTTGGCTCAGGGTGGGCGGCCATCTGCCTCGACCGGTTGGGGGTGAAGGAGAGAGGGAGGGAGGGAGAGAGAGAGGCAAGAGAGGAACAGAGAGAAAAAGAGAGGGATGGAAGGAGATAGAGGGAAGGGAGGCAGCCTACACAGTATACACACACAGAGGTACAGACAGTAAAGGTGATGTGTTAATGATGATTATAATAATAATAGGACTAGTAACAATAGTTACAATACAATAGCAGAGGGTGTCAAGCAGGAACACGGGGGACGCAGGTGACCCGTAGCCACAGATCCAGACTCCACAGCTCCAGAGCCAGAAACACCTACAGACTAACTCTTATGTAACAAAGGCAACGAGCGTGATTCCTAAAAAGACAAACTGTTAATTTAATTCTATTGCATTCTTTATACCACCACAGATCAGTGAATTTGACAAGATGGTAGCAAAGCAGAGGGTGAGCCATGAGGACCAGAAGGCTGCCTTAACCCTCCAGTACCAGCAGGAGGTCCAGGCTTTGAGGGAGGAGATGGCCAGCATTCAGAACCATGCACAGGAGCTCCAGAGCCAGCTAGAGCAGACGGTGCTGGAGCGAACTCAGGCCGAGGAGAGGGAAAAGCTCGAAAATCTGCAGGAGGAGGAAGTGGGAACTCTGAGACAACAACTGTTAGAGGCCAACACCTACGCTGCAGACCTGGAGGAGCAGCTGAAGACCCTTGAAGCCCTGCAGGCAGAGACAGATGAAAACCTTGTTAATGATATGGAGGAGCTGAGGAAACAACATGCCATTGATATTAGGAAACTGCAGGAGGAGCATTTACAGCTTTTAGAAGCCAGACTGGAAGAGGAGAGAGAGAAACTGCAGGAAGAAAAGGCTGAGTTGGAGAATAGATTGTTAGATGATTGGGAAAGGGAGAAAGATCTGTTGCAACAAAGCCATAAGGAGGACCTGAAGGCCAGACTAGAGGAGTCACGGGTGAGGTTTGAGGAAGAGCGTGATGAGATTTTGCAGAGACTGACAGAAGAGTGGCAGAAAGAGAGGGCTCAGCTGGATGAGCAGAATAACGAGTCTCTGCAGGTGGTGCTGGAGGAAGAGATGTTGAGACTTGTCAGGGAGCAAGAGGAGAAGGAGAGTAAGCTCAGGGAGCAGTGGGAGAGTGAACGAGTCCAGCTTCAGGAGCGTCAGGAGGAGGCTCTGCTCGAGAGGACACTGCAAGAAAGGTTGCAGTCTCAACAGCAGTTTGAGCAGAGGGAGAAAAAGCTGAAGGAAGAGTGGGAGAGAGAGAGACTGCAACTGGTAGAGGATTATGAAGGGATGCTACAGGAGAGGCTGAACGAAGAGAGGGAGAAGTATGAGACTGAGACGGAGGAGGTGGAGAGGAGACTAGAATACTTAATGGCAGAGGAGAGGGTTCGTCTAGAGGAGAGCCACCGAGAGGCCATGAAGGAGCTAACTATAAAGCACGCTGGAGAGAGGGACGCTCTCAGCAGCATGTTGGACAAACTACGAGATGACATCGCTCAGGAGAGGTGAGACATATGACTTTTGAGATTTTGAATTGTATTTGTATCAAAGTAACTTCTTTGCTTTGTGCGGTCAAACGTGGATTATTTACAGGAAGTTTGTTTAGGAAATGCACTTGTTTTCTTGCCACAGATTACAGTGTTAATTTGTGCCTTTATCCCCCGTATTTAAAAGAGATCTCTCTAATATGTCTGTCCTTTTCACTCCACCTTCAAGTATATACTATACTATAAAGACAACTAATTTTCGATGAGGTCGGACAAATACTGTACAAACTAGTTCTGATTGAGTATACCCTGGCCGAAAGTGGTGCTGGTAGTCTGATTTTATAGCCAGTGGGCAGAGCCATGCTTGCTGTTTCCAGTCTTTGTTAAGCTAACAGCTGCTGGCTTTAGCCCTATATTGAAAGGACCGGTATGAGTGATAATAATCTTCTCATATAACTCTCAGTGAGAAAGCAAATAAGCTCATTTCCCAAAATATCAAACAAATCGTTTAAAATCTAATATGCTAAAAAGTTTGTTTTAAGAATCTTTATATTTGTTTTACTATTAAGAGTTCAAAACTGTTTCTGTAACGATCAATAAATAACCATGTACAGGAAAGAAATCGAGATCAGCTTCTCCCAGAGAATCAAGGACGTAGAAGATCGTTTCTCAGGTGATCAAGAATCTGTTGCAGAGCGTTTTCAGGCTGATGTTTTGAAACTTGAACAGCACTACCAAAGTGAGCTGAAGGCCCTCTCTGCAAGTTATGTTGAGCAGAAGCTCCACTGGGAGGCACAGATACAGGAGGCCGTTGAGAACGCTGAGGTACAAAGAAGAATGACGGAGGAAGCCATGGAGCAGGAAAGAGAGAGCCTGAATCAAGAGTGGAAAAAAGAACGAAATGCGCTGGAAAGTCTTCACAAAGCGAAAATGGAAGAACTTGTCATGAAAAACCAGCAACTTCAAAATGAACTAGAGGACTTCATCAGTACGGCTCAGACTAAAGAGATAGAGCTGAGTAAGCAGCTGAATGACCTCCATAACCGGCTTCAGGAAAGCCTGGAAACCAAAGACGAACTCCTTGCTCAGTCTGAGAAGAAAGCGCTTGAGACTGAGCTTCTGCTTAATCAAATAGTGGACGATTTTAAACAGGAGAGGGCAGAACTTCTGAGCAGCCAGTCAGAACTTGAGGCAAAATACAGCGAGATGCTTTCCATTTCGGAGAGGCAGATCACTGAGAGGATTGAACTGTTAACAGAGCGCGATGATTTGAAGATGAAGATTGAGGAGCTGGAGATGCTGCTTAAACAGGCAGCAGTTGACTTTGAACTAGAGAGGAAGGAGCAACAGGAACATGTATCCATGCTTGAGGAAAAGTTAAAAGATAATGTAGAGAATGACAGAGAAGAACTTATAGCCGAAAGAGAGACGCTTACAGTCAGAATTAAAGAGCTAGAAATGGAATTAAATCAGGTTTTGTCCTCTGCAGAAAAGGCAAAAGAAGAAATGGAAGAATCAAATGAAATAAACTCTTGTTTAGTACCTACTGAAATCAGTCTAAATAATATTATTGCCACTTCCTCTTATCAGGAACTAGAGTGTTTGTCACAGTTTCTCATTGAGCAAGACGTTTGTGTAGAGAATAAAACTGAGGCAGCGGAGGGAGCATCAGATGAACAGGAAAAGGTCCCAGCTACCAACAATAATCCAGGAGACAACATGCCAGATGTAAAACCAGATGCCGCTGAAAACAAAGAACATGATGGTTACATTTTTGTTACTGACAATAATGACACCGTTCCAGAAGATCATGAATCGACATCCTGCGATGGCCACAACACACATTCCCCAGATCAAGATGAAAATCAGTCAAATGTTGAATCCAAAAACAAAGCCGTTTCTACAGAGACGCAGTGTGAGGTGGTCTCATCCCTTGAGGCATTTGAAGGTGTAGATGCGAATGAAGACTCAACAGATGGTGAGAATAAAGTCACTCTTGAATCATGTGAGGAGGAGAACAAACCTCAAGACGAACCAGCTTTGATCAACGAAAGCACTTCCCGTGAAGATGAGCCATGTCATGAGACTGTGGTTGGTCCCTCAGTGCTGGAGGAGACCGATGACTCCCAGTTCATCAGAGTGGTGGATGCTGAGGTTTCTTGTTTACCAAATAACTCTCACGGCAGTAAAGAGGAAGACAAACATGTTTCAGACTCGGACTGTGAATATTTAACCGCTAAATTGAAGGATGAATGCTCACATGATTGTCTGGAGACTCTGGATGAAGATGCCAATTGTGAGGACAGGGAGTATTCTCTACTTAAAATACAGGCTTTGTATAACACTGCCACAGAGGAGAACATCCTCCTACACGAGAAGATTGCACTGCTTCAACAGAAGTCAGAAATACTAGAGACTCTTCTGGCTCATAACAGTGAAAAGATGAAAACTGGCCACCAGGTATTGGAGGAAAACTATAGCCTCAAAGTTAAAGTGCTATTTTTAATGGAGCATGTCAAAGAACTGGAGATAAAGGCCTTAGAGGTGACAGATCTTCAGATTAAATATGAAGACTGCATGTGTGAAAATGCCAAACTGAAGGACCACAACAGTGAACTTGAAAAGAGAGTTTGGAGCCTTGAAAGCAGGATGAATATTTTCCATGATTCCCAAGATGAGTGGGTTTCACTGGTGGATGAGATCGTCAGGATGAGAGACGAGAACATGAAGCTCTCAGAGTTAGTCAGTGAAATGGAGAGGCAGGAGGAGATTCTTTCAGCCGTGCACCCAGACGCTGGCCAATCGGAGAGCCTCACAGAGGAGTCTCTCCTGGATCTGACCAGTGAGCTGGAGGTTAAAGTTCAGGCTGTGACTGACCTGGAGGACTGCTGTGAGGAGTTTGAGAAGCAGAACACGGAACTTCGCAGAGCCATCACAGAGCTACAGGACAAGTCGCAGACGTTAAATGAAACAACACAGGCTCATAGGTAACGTGGAGAGAAACTAGGAACCCATCCCTCCATGTCTCCTGTGGCTTCTCATTTCCCATCCCTTTGGTGCTCCTCCTTTTCTTCCCAAGCACAACGTAGCGCTGTTTGTCCTGCCTGTGACTAGGTTCCTAAACCTGCTGTGCGATGCAACGGATCTTGAACACTTGTGCTCCTTTTGATCCTTGTAGATCACCAGTGGAAAAGAGGGGGGAAAAAAATAGTTCAATGATTCTTTTAGTTAATATGTAGCAGGTGTCTTTATTAGTGTTGTCATTTTTACATCATCCCACTGAATAATAACTGAGTATGGTTTTATTATAGCTTGTTAAAATCTAGATTGGAACATTTTTTTTCTAATGTAGTTTTGTCTGTCTATAGGTCTGAGGCCTGTCGTCTTGCTGAAGAAAACCTCGTCCTCAGGCAAAAACTTACTACGTTGAAGGAAGAGGACTTGAAAGAGGCCCAGGAAGAGTTGATGTAAGAAACCTACAGTTTTTCATTTTCAAATCACTACGTCTTTTGTTTTTGTCATGTACGATGACCTTTTCTTCGAATGTCTGATTTTAGACAAACATTGGAGAACTTAAAAAAGGGGAAGATTGCGGCTCAAACGGCAGAGGAGAATTTCAAGAAACAGGTACAGTAGTAAGTTATTAAAACAAGACTCTACAGCCATGTTAGCAGCTCTCTGAGGCTGTCCTTCGCACAGCAGTGCTTTGAGCTTAATGCCGACGTTTTAATGTTTACCATCTTAGTTTAGCGTGTTAGCATGCTAACATTTGCTAACACAAATTTCCTAATTATACTAATAAGAATGTCAGTTTGTTCGTAAACCAAAGCACTGTACAAATTTTAAATTTTGACCTGATGCTGGCACTAGATGAAAAGTCACAGGAGAGTTATCACAATTTATTGGGGACATGACTGTCTGTGCATTATTTCATGACAGTGCGTCTAGTAGTTGTCAAGATATTTCTCTAAAAAAACAAAACTGTCAAACTAATGGTTGTGCTGGAGGAAAAATCAGCGGACCACCAAAGTCATTAGTGTTTGTCCTTTGGGGTATGAATATGTGTATAAAATTTCATGGTGCTCTATCAGTTTTATTGATATTTCATTCTGGAGTCTGGACCAAAGTGGTGCACCAACTGACATGCTGCTAAGCATGGCTAACAAGTCTTTTTTTTTTTTTTTTTATTATTATTTACACAATAATGAGGTAATGAGATGTAATATCTTCTCCTCTGCAGATTTCAGAGCTGCATTTGCAGAACCAGCAACTGGAGGATGAGAATGGGATGCTGTCAAAGAAAAATGCCCAAAATATTGCTGATGTGGAGAATCTACGACAGCAGCTGTCTGAGCTGAGAAAGGAAAATGAGAGGAGGGAGGCGTTACCCGCTGAAGAGAAAAGCAAGGTAAACAGTGTTTCATGACAGACTGAAGTCCTTCATGGTGTCGTGGTGGTCGTAGTGGGTGCTTAATTGGTGGCTATTTTTGTGTTAGCTGGCAGCTTGTGTGTCTTCTCTGGAGGCAGAGCTGAACAAAGCTCTGGAGGACACTGCACAGCTGGAGGAGAGGAATACCGAGCTGTCACAGCAGCTCTCTGGCCTCAGAGAGAAGGTGAGCATCAGGCTGTGGACACTTTAATAGATCTCACATTAACCCCATTAAAGCATGACACAGGCACAAAGTGATAAAGCATTAACACCACATACTATCACCATGAAATGACTCAGTCAGTCAAGGTGAAAACAAGTATCTGTTAAGTACAAAAGAGAGTGCATGAGAAATGTTATCTGTCCTGAAAGCAGATATGATCTTCTGAGATGTTTTGGTGTGATCTAGCTTAAGCAGTCAAGGTGTATATAAAGGATTCGTCAACTACAACTGTATTTGTTGTCTTCTGGTTGTCAGGCGGCCAAAGTCGACTCCATGGAGAGCCAGCTCAGCCACCTCGTAGAGGAGCGAAAGAGTGTGGACAAGGAGACTCTGGGCCTCCGCAACCAGCTAGCCAAAGCTGAAGAGAGGGTAAGAGTCGGCTGTAAACTGCACAATAATCTCTACGTAGATTATATTTTTTCTTTTCAACAGCTGCTGGGGAGAACAAATGGTGTTATGAGGTTGAATGGAAATATATCAAATTTTGGAATTAGTCAAATTTGCCATTGTTCTTTTCTGTCCTTTAGTTGAAATAGAACTAAATTAAAATATGTTAAACTATAACATTCATTGCTGTTTAGTAGGCTCAATTCAAAGTATTTTACAGGATAAATCATAGTAATTAAACTGACTTGTAACCTGATTAGTCCTGGAACAAGTTGGACTTAATGCATTCCTTTCTCCACACTAGGTCAAGACAATGGATGAAACTATCCAGGCTGCAAACCATCAAAGTGCTCGTCTTAAGTCAGACCTCCGTTTTTCGCAGCAAGAGAGGGATTCCCTCAAACATGATGTTGCAGTGCTAAACAAACGACTGCAAAATGTCAATGATAAAGTAAGATCTTTAAAACTGTTTTTCACTTACAGACTAAAAAAAACACTTAAGTGCAACAAACACCGGGGGGGTAAAGATTATTTGTCTTTTTTACAAATGATATTTAAAGATGTTCTGATGTACAGACAAGACAACAGCACAAGTTTTAGTTTTTTTCAGCTTAACTTTTGCATTTGTTCGTCACAGAATCATGTTCTGGAGATGGCCTTGCACTCGAGTGGTCTCCAGAATCAGAGCAAGAAGCTGTACAGAGGCGAAATGTCTCGGCTGATGGAGAAGGATCAGCAACTACTGAGGCAGGAAAACGAGAGGCTTCAGGCAGAAGTGCGCAGCATCAAAGGAGACCTTGTGCAGTCCAGAGAGAAGGTGAGCTGAGGACTACAGCAAACTGTAATGAACTTTAAAAACCAACAGTCATTAGTTTTCCATTTTCCCTCTCTGTCACGTAGCTATAAGCCCTTTATTTTATGTCTGCAGGTCCGTCAGCTTGATGCTACCATCATGTCCCTGAAGCAGCACAAACAACAGAGTCAGTCCTCCCTGGTGAAGGCCCTGGAGCAGGAGAACACCTCTCTGAAGCAGGAACTTGAGGCACAAAAGGAGCTCAACAAAGTATAAACCGCATATATATACCCAGATAACCTTTTGATGCTTTGATTTTTTTTCTAAACATGCTGATTATGTGGTGATTGCTTAAATGCTTATTATATGTCCTTTTTGTGTTTTCAGGGCCACGAAGCAGGACAGGGACTCTCAGAACTAGAGAACCTTAAACAAGAAAATGAGGCGCTCAGGAGCCAAATGGCTCGACTGTCTACACAGCTGCTAGAGGTAGATCATGGAACCAACATTGCTCCTCTTATTTTTGTATTTTTACGATAAACCGTATTGATTTGCACTTTGGTTATTTAAATCGGGTATTTCCTTCTTGCTTATGTTCAGTGTTTTTGGCTGCAACCTGTTGTACTTGTCTTCAACCTATCCAAAGAAGGTTAAAGTCAAGGGCAGCTGGACTTGGTTGAAGATATTAGAAGATGTTTCGTCCCTCATCCGAGAGACTTCTTCAGTTCTGACTGACTAGTAGGGAAATTAAGCTATTTAACCTCAGTGGGGTCGTTTGCCAGGATCGTCCACACCGCTGGTTTGTTAGTGTTCCTGGCTGTTGTAACGACAGTTGTTATGGTCGTTGGAACCAAGGCCTAGCCTGAACGACAATCTTTGGCATCTTCACCTGAGGCCAAGCGGTTACGTTTAAGTTTCCTGGGAAGTGATGAAAGCATTGTAAGTGGTGGCATAGACCCCCTCCTATTAATTGACGGTAAGCAACTGTAAATGGCTTCCTTGACACCTCTTTCAAGCCATCCATCCTCTCTGTCTATGCAAACCTGGTGATCCTCAAACGAGTGTCCTTTATCCTTCAGATGTAAGTAAACTGCAGAGTCTTGACCTGAGGAGTTGGCCCTTCTGTGTTGAGCCATGCGTTTGTGTAGTGGTGTTTAGTTTCCCCAATATACAGGTCTGTGCATTCCTCACTGCATTGGATCGTATACACTAGATTGCTTTTCGTGTGTTTGCTGTCTTTGGGGTGTACCAGTATCTGTCTTAGCGTGTTCTTGGGTTTAAAAAACACAGGGATGTTTGTTGAAAATCCTCCTGAGTTTCTCTGATACTCAAGACACGTATGGAATCACAATGTTGTTGCGTTTGACCTTCTCCACATCCCCCGTAGTGTTGTTCTTCCTGGATCTTGTGGCTGTTTTTCACAAAGTTCCATTTAGGTCCGGATCAGACAGAACGCGTTTTATGCAGTGAAAGGCGCCGTTTTTTAATTGTATTCTATTGTCAGTGAGCGTTCTGCGCTCTGTTTATGCAGCCTGGACACCTCGCGTTTTGGCCGCCTGCTGTGCCTTGCGTTTTCGAAGGAGCGCTCTGAGCGCAGAGTGGAGAAAAAAATAAAAATTAACTCTGTGCAGAAAAGTGCCAGACGTTATTCGCTTTTTTTTTCCCATTGTCCAATCGAATGAATGGAGAGACAGGCCGTCAGTTGTGCTGAAGTTTACAGTTGCTTGGATTGTCCGGACACTGCAACAAACTTTCTGAGGGTCTCCTGTACCCACACAGATCTCCCTTTTCCTGTCTCCTGCGTATTTGTACACCTCTCACCCTCAAACATTGCCAGAGTAGGTCCTCTCTGTTTGTCTATTTTATTAAAGCAGATGTTTTTAGCAACAAAAGACACAGACGTGTGAGTTGTGATCAAGTTTCTGCTAATATGACAGTTATTAGTTATTAATTCGCAGCAAACCAAAGATTACAGATCGCTGGCGCTATAATCCTTGATTAGACTGACAGGACAGCTGATTCAGTGGTTACCTAGCAACATAAGAAAATGCAGCGCGCTGCTCTTTTCTAAATTCAACCAAAAAAAAGCATTGCTGCGCGCCTCGCGTTTTCGAACTTGCAAAGTGCTTTCTGTCTGATCAGGGCCTTAGGGTATCCACAGGCTGTAAGTGCCCCCTTCTGGCTGTTCCTTCTCTATGGCTTGGGTAGAATTGAAAAGTAGGTATTGGTCTGTGTGTGGGGGTTTCCTCTACACTCCAATTTGCAGGCTACTGTCCTCTTCATTGTGTACAGCAATGTCCAGGAGGGCCAAACTGTTGTTGTGGACATCTTTTCGTGTGAACTTGATGTTACTGTCCACAGAGTTTTGCTCCATTTTTCCCTCGACTTTAACCTTCTTTGGATAACTATGACCTGGATGACTGAGAACCTTCACAGACCTCTTGCCTTCAACCTACTTGTTTTTGCCAGGTTTCTCATGGAAGAATTAGTCAAGAGTACAGAATTAAAATATTGACTAAAACAACCTCATACTGTATATATTTCTTATTTTTCTACTTTGTCCAGACATATCAGGCTCACCTCGTTGGACTTCTGCCTCCATCACCTCACAGGATGGCCAGGGGACAGCATCGTGGCGAAGAGCCGGACAACATGCAGGTACAGTACAAACTGAACCTTTCCTTATAGTCTCTGGAAAATATATACATGCCTTTTTATTTAAAAAAAATAAAATAAAAAATCACAAATCAAATAATCACATACAGGATAAACAATTAGGGGCTCCTGATCCTGTTCAAAATATGGCGTTTTCCATCACCAGGACCAGCTCAACTCGCCTCGACTCGGTTTGGCCATGCTCCGTTTTCCATTGCATATAGTACCCAGAGATGGTGCCCCTCAATGTAGCTGGTCGTCATAGCAACACCACACACAGCTGCCGCGGCGTAATGTTCAATGCGATGCACACACCAGCGACCCACACAGCTTTCTTTATTTAAGTTAAAATGTTTCATTACTCAGAATGAAAAGACAGATAAGCGGTGTAAAAACCTTCCAGCTGTGTTTTCCTCAGCCGTTGTTGCTGCAGCGGTCTGTGTGACGGCGGGAGCAGAGGGCTCTTTGAGCGGGCGACTGGCCGGCCTCACACGCTCCTCCCGCGGGTTGGTGCAGGCTTCCCCCGCAGCCACTTGCGGAGCTCCTTAACTCCAAAATATTCTAAATCTACGCAATTGATTTCTCAGGAGGTGATACGGTAACCTGGTAACAGGTACAACATTTCCGCAATGGAAAACCAAACAAAGTCGATCCGAGTTGAGCTGGTACTATTACATTTTTCCTGAGTCTGCTTTGAAATTCAACCTAGAGCAAAAAAGCTGAACAAGCAGTTTAGCACCTGAGTTTGATATTACATTCATCTCCTGCCATTTTACTTTCTCATTTGTCACATTATCTGCCATCTTTTGTCGCAATTATCATAAATCCATCATTAATGGCAATAAAAAGGGAACTAAGAACTACATCTCATGTTGGAAACTTTTGGGATTTAATGGGAGTTAAATATAAATACACCCATTGTATTTCTTTCCCAGTCACTTTGGTGTAGAAAGTGTGCTCACTCGAGTAGATCACTCAATTCAGGTGCTGAAAATGTATTTAACTTTGTATTTATTTGCTTTGTGTATGGAAATTTTCAAAGCAAAGCAATAGAAGAAGAAGATATACTTTATTAATCCCCCAAAGGGAAATTCAGTGTTTACATACATCACTAATTGTTCTGCATCAAAATGAATATAACAACAATACATTGTTTTTAAAAGTGTATAATTTCTCAATACCTGAGCTGAGTGTCATTTAGTCGTGATAATCCTCATTTATTTTTATTTCCCATCACACTTTTGTTTGAAGGCTGGGTTTGCAGTTGTCCTTGTTTTGGTGTTTGTCACAGATCATCCATCACCTGTCTGTCCTCATCTCCTTATGTCATGTGTGTAGTGTTTACTTTCTGGGCTTGATATTTAGCCTGTGGTGCCTGTGTGTTTTTTGAAGTCACTGTCTTTATTTAAGTTTTGGGACTGAAGTAGTTGCAGTGGTGTGATCATCTGGGTGTGGTCCTGGTGGCTGTTTTTCCATTTGTCACCTTCCACAAACCTCCGTCTCTCCCCAACGTGATAGATGTAGTTTATCTGTAAACGGCGTCATCCCACTGTTAGTGCATTTTAATAGCATCTGACCTTTTTGTTGTCATTTTTATCATGACACAGCATGACAATTACTAGTTATCACTAGGGTACCATGAATGTCCTTGAAGGAAACAAGGATCCCATTTAATATGATTGTGTGCACTATACATTTGTTTCATGTGAACTTGGAATGAATGAAAGAGTAGTTATATTTACGTACACATGCATAGTACTCCCAGGAGATGTTAGAATAAATATAGAAACATAACCCAAACAAAATAATACACATTTTTGCACATTTTAATTCAATATTAAATAAATGAAATGTTATTAAATTAACAAATGCAGACAAAATGTTTATATAACTGTTTAGTAATACTTTTTTTCAAAGTCAGCTTATTATGTGATGGGCTGTCCACTTATTCAGACTAATTAGCAACAGCTAATCACATAACTAGCTCTTTGTATATTGTCACAATGCCACTTTTCATCAGTCACTGGGGGGAAATTGTGTTTTTAAAATAACAGGATTTGGAAAAGGGATTTTTAAATAAAAAAATGAATGGTCTGCAATTTACTTAAACTTTTTAGAAGCAATGGAGCTGAGTTTTACACTTTTATTAAATTATTTCACAATTTTATGGTTATATTGTATAATTTGTCTGTTTGTTCACTTGATTATTTATTTATGTAATATTGAACACACAATGGCCTTAAAAACCTGTGTGAATGCCTGTTGCCCTGACCAGGCCTGTGTAGGTTTTTTTAGGAGTAGAGGAGAGGCTAGAGCTGTGGTGAAGTGTTCCTGCCTTTTCTCTCCAGGCGGCGATGCCGGAGCAGCGGGCAGCTCACGCAGACAGCTACCGGCGGATCGGTGGATTGTAACACCAGCGTCTATCCCTGCTCTTCACTTTAGCCTCCTATTTCTTCCAAGACAGCACTTCTCAGTCCTGCTCTTCCTCTGCTATGTCTGGACTGTGGCACACGATGCCGTCCTTTCTGCATCCTTACAGGAGATTGTGAACAAATGTGGTGCCTGATTTGAAAAGGCATGAATGTGTAATTGTATTTCCCTGCTGCTAGGTGGCAAGAAAACACAGAAAAGACTCCTGAGATTTTCCCAATGGGATTTTGATTAAATAATGGCATTACCACTGAAAATGTAACATTTGTCAGACATTCCATATCAAATTTAACATCTACAAAGTTGTTTCTTGACAGAATTTGACTTTTATAAGGACCTTTTTTGTGACTTTTTGTAGTTTAAAGACAGGGAATCTTTTTAAAGCAGGGTGCATTTTCTGGTAATGTTCTGTTATGCACTTGAACCATTTATCATTGTCTGAGACAGGGTGTATATGCATCCTCAGAGGCTAAATCTTGTGTGACAGCTTGCCTTATGATCATCGAGGAGTGTTGAGGCGAGGTTAGTGCCTACCAGCCTTCTGAGCCTTTTCAATCAAGCAAATTCAACCTGTAATTGTCAGGCGATGTTACAGTCTGTCCAGTGAGGGTTTATCAAGATATAAAGTGAAAGTTTCACTGTTTGTCTTTTGTTGTTTATGCCTGTATTTCTTATCTGACACTACACATAGCTGAATGTTTCTTCAAGCTGCGTGTTTATGTTGTGTTTGTGTTCTGGGACTGTGTTTTGCAGTTTCTGCTGCTGCTGCACAACCAAAGTGAATCACCTCTTTCTGGGTTATTTTTCCTAAACAAGAACTGTTCACACACGTCACACAATTGTTAACTTGAATGTTTACCTGGTATTTATTACTGGAAAATCCATGCAAACCAAATTATTTGTCCCCGGTAGTGTGTAATTAATCTATTAATGTTGTATTTGTGTTTTGGTTTTTGAGTAACTTAATGAGTCTCTCTTTTTTTTCTTTTTTTTTTTCTTCTATGTATAGAGTCAAATGTATTTTATGTTTTATTTATTTTGATAGAATCATGGGTTTATTTTATTTATGCATTAAATTATTTTTTTTGTAGAGGTATATGGAATACATGGCATCATTTTTATACCTATTTATATATTTATTTATTTTTTAGTGCATTGTCCTCTCTTTTTAGAAATATACCAAATCATTTTATGCTGAAATCAACATAAAATAAAGCATCTAGGTCATTAGAATGTGGTCTGTATGTTGTTTCATTTTTCTCAGTGAGATTTTTCAGCTCAAAGGGAAGAAAATAAAAATTTCATTACCATTTAATTGCATTAGCAGCGGTTTGTTGATATCGCTTACTGTCTTCTTACCAGGATGAAAGGGAGAGGAAGATGAAGAATATGGAGGAGCGTATGAGGGAAATTGAACTGTCGCTGCATAACGTCAAACTGCTGCTCAAAGAGAAGGTTGCTCAGCTGAAAGACCAGGTCAGTTTAAAAATCTCACACTCATCAGAAGAAAGTCAATGTTGTCTCCTAAGGGAAAAACGTTGTCGTCAAAAACAAATCATAAATAAGAATTTTGAATGATTTTCAAAAGTGCCAAAGAAACTGTCTTTAGAAGCGGGCAGAAAAACAGTATGCTGTTTGTTTCTCTCAGACATTGTTACAGTACTGGATTTTGGTTTTTTTCCTGCTTCAATGTTTGAGTGTTATATAAAATCAGAATATGGGCTAATTTTAAAACAAAACCACTTAAACTGTTACTGAATTCCTGCACACTGTCATCAGAGTTGATAAAAGACACAACACTTCTGCCATTGACCTTGTCAGGCATGTAGTTCAGTGTTAATTCACTCATCTTTAAACTAAAGCCACAGGTTGCAACAACCAATCAAAAAGGGAAACCAAATCCTAAAACACTCAAGCCAAATCTCCCAAGATAACTTCCACATCAACAACTGATAAATCATCCTCATGACACAAATACAATTGTCAAAATATCAAACCTAGAGAAATTATCATAATATTTAAACAGCAGAACCTGATCTAAAAGAAGACAACCTCGTAAAGGATGTCTTTATTTGTTTGTTTGTTTTTTTTTTTAAAGAGGAAAATGGCAACCAAATTAAAGATGGAGAAGAGATCATAGCATCACATGAATAAGAAATGTATCAGTAAGGTCCTTGTGAGAAAGGGTTTGTAAAGTGTAGATCTGGGCCTGTATTTATCAAGCTTCTCAGAATTGGTCATAAGAACACTAAGAATTGACTTAAGAGTAAAAACAACTCTTGGCTCAAAGCTGTGATTAAAAGGTGTTACCAAGCATCGTAGTCCTAATTTGAAGTGTAGGACTAAATCTTAAGTGTCAGTGTTGGTGCTGATTTATGACACAAACAGGATGACGATGTAGGCAAGGACCAGTCACTGAATGGATTTCCTTATCTAAGAATATTCTCAAAAAAATTCCTAAGAGGAGTTTACATTCGTACGACATTTGACAATTTTTAAGAGAATACTTTATGAACATAGGCTGCTACGTACACATTGAAAATGAAAGATAAAAAAGTTGATCTTTATATGAGTGGTATCAATTGCACCGACTACTCGGGGGGGTTGTTGGGAAGTCAATGAAACGCGTGACTGTGTGTGGAGCTGTAAGTGCCATATTTGTTTCCATGACAATTTGGCTTATTGATGGTTATGCTGGGCCAAAATCATCATAATTGCTGCATTTTTCCTTTAGCAAATAAACAAAGCGTCATCACAACCTTCAACTCACTGACAAAGATTATGCCTGCACTGTCCAACCCTGTTAAGTGCATGTTGTCAAATAATCCAAAAACATTCTTACACTCCTGAAAGATCTGCGCATGTCTGTCTCCACATTGCCATCACAACCTCCTACTGCAGCTCCTAACCACTTAACTGGTAGAGTAAGAGTGATTCTTGGCTTTAAGAAATTTGATAACTTGCTTTTATACTCAAGTTTGAAAGTAGGAGTAAATTTCATGAATTATCAGCCCTTAAGACCAAAATGGCACTTTGAGAAGCTTGATAAATACCAGCCCTGATGAGTTTCCCTTCTTTTGAGAAGTACAGCAAGGTGGCATTTTCATATGCAAATTTTATTTATTGGCATGAATGTTAAAGTTGCATTATTGCCAAAGCTAAATTACAGCCCTGCAATGGACATGTGACCTGTTCGCCTTTCGCCCGATGTCAGCTGGGATTGGCTTCAGCCCCACTCGACCCTGTACAACGGATAAGCGGTTGACGATGATGAGTAAAAGTTAAATGAAATATTATTGAATAATTACATTTTACATAAGAAAACAAAACAGATTATCACAAAATAACAAATGCACTTTACGCAGTACAACCTAATATTATATATTATTATTGAATCTGTATTTTCTCTGTGGTTGTAGCAAGCTGATACAAATAGTCCAGCCAAGAGAGCGATTTTGTTCCCTTCTCCTAATATGTAGGAAAGTTTACCTCTCTTTCCTCCAGGAGGGAAATAACTCTCAACGACTGAAATGAGGTCTACTCTCCAAATCATACTTTGATGCTCACTAATGCAAAAAATATAACTCTTAACATAAACAGTTTGATAAGCATGTACCTTAATCGGGGTTATTAAAGTATTGTGACCAAGATACTGTATGTACAGAGTGAGTGACACTGTTTCTAAATAAACGCAGAGATGTCATTGGCTTCTCTTTGCTGCAATTTCTTAGTTACATATCAGCTGACATACAGTATGTGTCACTACAAGATAATAGCCTACTAGCTGACAATATTGGCCTGCCAGTTTTTCATTTGGGCTCTAGTACCCTACTTCAAATTAGATTAATTATGGAATTATCAAGGCCTTTATCGTCCACTTTCTCTCACTTTTCTAGGTGCACAAGAATGGTAAAGCAGATGTGTTGATCAAAGACCTGTGTGTGGAGAATGCTCAGCTGCTGGAAGCTCTGGAGATAACTGAGCAGCGGCAGAAAATCGCAGAGAAGAAGAACTACCTACTAGAGGAGAAGATCTCTAGCCTTAACAAGATAGTGCGTGACCTGAACCCCTCGCCCCTTCCCTCGCTGCCATACCACTATAAATGCTCATAATGTATCACATAACAACCAAGGTCAACCATAAACTACACAGTTTTTTTTTACAGAAGTATTTTACTTGTCTTGTTGAAATATTTTCAACACATGCTACCAAGTGCACAAAAAAGGCCTTTTTCCATTGCATGTCCACTGACATGTTTTTATCTTGTTTAAGCCTAATTTTACTGTTAAATATGCAGTATTTTCATTTAATTTTTTTGATATGTGCAGTAATAATCTTGTGTTGTGTTGGACCTAATGAAGAACCAAAAGTAAGGTCAGACTGTGAAAGAAAATGCGCTATTTTACAGTAATTTATATATTTTTTAAAATGTCAAAGCAATAGTTGTTGCTATTGAATGAATTAGTAAATATTTAACCATGACACTATATTTCTCTTCCAAAAGAGAAAAGCAATACTGAAGTGCACTTTTTATATAAGTGTTATTTTGTCTGTTGTCAAACAGATTAATTGTGTTCATCTGTATGTTATTTTCTTCTCAAGCCTTTAAACAAACATGTCAGTAGTAAAATCATGTAAACAGAAAAGTCATATAATCTGGTGAACTTTTCATGCAACACTGCTTGAAGTTACATTCACTTTAAATTAGTGTCAACAGGCAATGCTTGCTATTTAAATACATCTGGTTAAAATCCTATAAACTGTTGCAATATGTAAAGTTTTTTTATAATGTAAAACTGCCATTATGTTTTTAAATGAAGGACCTTTTGTAATTGCTGCAGCATAAGCACTAATGTTGAAAACAGGGTAAAGTTTTAATAAAGGTATAAATAAAATACATGGATTGTTTTGATTTCTTACTGGATTAATTTGTCTCATCTTGTTGGTTTGTAGAGGATGTAATCATGGCTCTGCAGGTTAATGAGTTTATACATTGTAATGGACTAAGTATATTATACACAAGTACTATACTTGAGTGCAATTTGAAGGTACTTGCAGTATTTTATCTCACTTATCCAGCAGTTCTAGCTAATTACAGACCATTTTACAAATACTGCATACAGCATTAACATTTTTTTGCTACTTTAAGTGCAAAGGTTGGATCTCCTGTCAAAACACATGAACTCATTTGTCACTTCTTCTGTTAACTGTGTGTCATGTCGATGAATGGGCTGTGTAGCTCGGGTGTCAACATTGTTTGTGTATCCGCTTGCAGAGGGTGCGTTACCAGATGGGCAGGGCTGTACAGTAACCATTCCCAGTGAGGACCCGCGGTGGGAGTGTAGCGCAGCTCAGACCGGACTGGACCTCTGGAGGAGAAGACTCTTCCAGTAGCTAAAGTTAGCTGGCTAACTTGCTGCTAGCTAATCTAAAGCTTAAAATGTTTACTTTCCGCGCTTCGCATGTTGGTCGCAGAGTCGAGGGATTGTATCATGACATAACAGCGACGTGTTGTTGATGTTTCCGAGCTTTGAGTTATGCTCTCACGAAAGAAAAGTAAAAACGAAGCGTCGAAACCAGCCGAGGTACACGGGAAATATGTGAAGAAGGAAACGTCGCCGCTCCTGAGAAGTAAGCGCAACAAGTTAGCCAGCTAGCTGAAGTTAGCATATGTTAGCCTGCTAGCGTAAGTTCACTTTATTGGCAGAAAGATGCAAGCTAACAAGAGCAGACGGGTTAAAGTAAACGTGTGGAAACATAACTATATATTGTTGTGGCTCATAAGCTTGTAACAAACTATTTAATCGTGTCATTGTACACCGTAACAGTTGCTAACCTGTTAGTTTCTGTGCTAGCTAGCTAAAAGTTCATCATCTTGCTAACTTAGGTTCTTGTCAGCTGCAGGGCTGAAGGAAAGTTGAGAGTAACGGTAACTACTCAGATTTGTAGCAAGTTTACAAAACCACACAATGAAATAAGTATTTTAATTACCTTTTATTTGTAGCTATATTTAGTGGAATGGTTTACTGAAAAGTCAGATTTGTTGATAGTTCGCTTTCATTTATCCATTGGTGGAAATTTAATGTGTTGTAATCTGTTTTATGACTTCTTAAATAACGTTAGACTGTTAGTAAGAGAAAATGTCTCGTCTCCTTGTCTGTGCCTTTTGACTGGCATGTAATTTGCGTTTTAATGTTAGTGGTTTACTGAATACTATTACTTAGTACCTATTA